TCAGGATCACACAGAGGCGTACCTACACGCCTTGTGAATCAAAGACACGGCTCTAGGTTTTCAAAGTCCTCTGCCAGTATTTACGTTGCTCGTTAGAGGACACTTGGGTGCCAGTAAGATGGATGCAAGCTGATGGCGGACCATGCTATCATACATGTCAGGCCGGTTCTGCAGACTTGCAAGATGCCAAAGTCGTAGGCTCATGAAGGCTTTGACCAAATTCCAGAGGCAATCCTGGGAGGCCAGGAAGTGTGTAGCAAGGTCCAAGTTCTTTTTTTTTATTTATTTTTTATTGAAAATTTCCACCTCCTTCCCTCCTCCCACTTTCCTCCCCTCCCTCCACTCTCCCTTCCCATCCCTCTCCAGTCCTAGGAGCAGTCAGGGTTCCCTACCCTATAGGAAGTCCAAGGTCCTCCCTGTTTCCCCCAGGTCCTGGAAGGTGTGCATCCAAACAGACTAGGCTCCCACAAAGCCCGTCCATGCAGTAGAATCAAAACCCAGTGCCATTGTCCTTGGCTTCTCAGTCAGCCCTCATTGTCCGCCACGTTCAGAGAGTCCGGTTTGATCACATGCTCCATCAGTTCCAGTCCAACTGGCCTTGGTGAGCTCCCATTAGATCAGTCCTGCCGTCTCAGTGGGTGGACGCACCCCTCACGGTCCTGACTTCCTTGCTCATGTTCTCCCTCCTTCTGCTCTTCATATGGAAGGTCCAAGTTCTTCTAGGAAGATGCCGAGAGGGCAGTGTATGAAAGTATGAGAGTAGAGTCACGTGCCAGGAAGGAGGGACATGGAGGAGGCAGACTGCAGGCACAGCAGAACCAGAAGAGAGGAGCTGTTCAGTCTGCAACTAGCAAGGCTGTGGGGCCTATGGGCTCCATTCCCCAGCCCAAGGGTCTGTCCATGACAGCCTCCTTACACATCTGCTCTCAGTACACATTCTACACACGGGTCTGTCATGACAGCCTCCTTACACATCTGCTCTCAGTACACACTCTACACACGGGTCTGTCATGACAGTTTCCTCGCACATCTCTCAGTACACACTCTACACACGGGTCTGTCATGACAGCCTCCTTACATCTGCTCTCTGTGCCGCACTCTACACACGGGTCATTTGCTAGTCATTCACTCATTTTCCAGCTTCTAGAGTTTCATCCTAGAAGATTTATTCCTTTAGAACAAAGTACTTTTAAAAGTTTTCAAAGCCATACAGGTGACAGGTTTTTTTGTTTGTTTTTTTGGGGGGTTTTGGGGCTTCAGTGGTTGCTGGGGATTGAACCCAGGTACTCTCCTGAGCTACGTCTTCACACTCTAACATCTATGTAGATGCACTGAATAACCTCACTGATGGCCAAGCCTGCCCCATCCCCACTGCCCTCCACACATTTCTCACCCATGTTCACACTTCAGATTTTGAGGCAAATTCTAGTAAACTCTTCAATATGCATATTTAAAACTCTTAATTTCCATATCCTCTGTAAGGACTCTAGAAATACAGTCACGCACTGAGGTACTATCATTTAGGGCTTCAGCATCTGAATTTGAAGGAAGCAGAGTTCAGATCACAACAAAATTAAAAACTCCTTAGTGTGCTAAAATTTCTAGTTAGCACCCAACTTGACTATAATTTTGCTTTAATTCATCCAATAAGTTCTACACATTGTATCTTCATATATATCTTCAGTCCCCCTTTGATGGGTTTATATTTTTTCTTTTATTGAAAATAGATGTTTATAAAAAAAGAATAGATGTTTTTTATACAATCTATTCTGATAATAGTTTCTCTTCTCCCAGCTCTTCAGAGAATCCCCCATCTCCCCTCCCACTGATCACTGAACTATTAGAATTTTACCAATGAAACAAGTCTCATAGATTGCCAGTGGGTGGTTTTTTCCCTGTCCTCTCTTTGTATGAGAAACTACCGTTGAACTTGAAGGTCCTTTGGCAGGTTAGCATTGTAGGTAACAGTGATTCTTTCATCTTCTCCTCTGACGAGTGACTTGCCTCCATCTTGAACATCTAGGGCTGCAAACTGACCCTTTTCAGGTTTTATCCTTCCTTTATTTGGCGGTTGCTTGTCTGCACTGTTCCGCCTCCAGGTGGCACAGTAGTGCAGGAAATCAAGCAAAAACAAGTCACTCAGTATTTTCTCATTTAAGAAGAATAGTGATTTGGTGATTAGTGTCCTCCGATGTCACAAATAAGGCTTTCTTCTTCATTTTCTCTGTACGTGTGTGCGCATGCCTGTGTAGAAAAGACCAGCCCTCAAGGAAGACGTTTTCACGGATTAAATCACCTTGCACTTTCTTGGAAAATTAATTGACCATAACTTTTTGGATCTGTTTTTTAAATTCTTTTCTGTGCCACTGACTTATGGGAAAGTCCTTATGCTAATACCATGCTGTTTTTGTTTCTGTACTTTACAGCAAGTAAAGTTATATAAATTGTTAGATAAAATGTTACATAAAATCATTCATACAAATCATTTTCATTCTCCTGGGACATGTATCTTTCTAGATAAATCATGTCAGCTTGTCAGTTTCCACAAGATAAGCTTTCTGAGTCTTCTAGTCTCTGTCTCTCTTCACTGATTTAGGACTTCTCTTCCATAATAATTTTTGGTTTTCAGAATATTGTGCTTTGTCAGTTGTATCCTTAAGTTTTTCTGATTTGTCCTGTTCTTGTACAGCTTTGTAGTATTACATAAATATAATCATGATTTGTGTTAATTAGCCAAGCTTTATTTTGGCTCCATAAAATCCCCTAAGTACATGTCACCCACAAATGAAGGTAGTTTTATTTCTTTTTAGTCTGTGTTCCTTTGAGTTCCAATTCCTGCACATTGCGTGGGTGGGGGTCCCTAGTGAGACACTCAGTAGGCATGGAGAGTGGATATAGGATGGTCTCGAGGGAAACTGCTACCCTGGGAACTAAGCATGAGGTGTAGGTGTGTCTTAATCTTGCCTGTCTGGTTGGGAAAGTTCCTGTCTGTGGCTTGAGAGTTTGTATCCTCTTGGGCTTTATGAAATGCTTTCTGCATTTCCTCCTCTGATCTTGAGGCTTTCCCTACCCTCAGCTAACATGGGGAGTTATTAGATTTTCTAAACTGGTTGGCACTGGTTCTGTAGGACTTTGTGTTGGTAGATTCCATTGTGAGTGTTTTCTTAAAGGTTATTATGTTCATAAAGTATGTTGATTTATGATACACTTTTCTTGAACTACTATTCACAGTCCATACTTACTTTTTTTTCTCAGAACCACAAGATTTATTAGCCGGAAGATGTCCTCATGAGCCCGGACTGCAGGAACTGGATGTTCCCGAATGGGCAGTCCTAGTCCTAGCCCTTTGTTCCAGGTTTCGACTGGCCTTCTAAAGGACTTGGTGAGTCATGACCAACTGATCACACATGACTTTCTCCTGGTGCTTTTTCTGCTGCAGAAGTTTTGCTGGTTCTGCGGCTTCTTTTCCTGTTCAAACAACTTTCTGTGTAGTTTGGCGATCTCTGCCTTCATTTCTTCAATCTGCTCACAGTGAAGTGAACACTGGCCATCTGTGGGGACTGAGACCTTCTAGAAGAGTATCAGCAACTTTGAGGCTTCTTCCAGGATCAGCCTGGCTGTGTTCATGCTGAAGAGAAACTTGCTCAGAGGCACAGAGAGTGGAATCTTTAGCCCCAGTTTTTGACCTGTGGGGCTCAGAACCTCTTGAGTTTGAATGTCCATCTCGGCAAGCAGTCTCTGGCCACGGCTGATCTGCTTATGGGGGGCATCATGGTCCTCAGTGAGGCCCAGCATATGGTGGCCACTCTTGCTTGCCCACACATGGTGTTCAGCAGTCAGGCAGGGCATGCAAGGAGGACTGATGATGGACGTGCTACTGTCACAGGAGACGAGTCCACGTCAGTTCCAGAGAGCAGAGGAGTCCGGAAGCTGATTTCGGTGCCATTGCCTGGGTGGACTCAGATAGATCAAGTGAATTATCACTGGCCTCAGGACGTTTGTTGCCATCATGTTTGTCCAGCTGAAGGGACCACTTGGTGACAGGGCCTTGACAGCCAGAGTGAGGCCCCTTCCTGGGGCGTCTTCACTCCTTGTGACAGCTGCTCCTCAGAGCGCTGTTAGTCTGGATGCTCCTCTGTAGCTGCTCACGGAGGCCCTCATCTCTGTCAGGAGGCCATGCAGGTCGCTGAAAGAATCGGGCCCATTCTGGGCTTCTCTAGATGCCTCGCCTTGGGCCTCACTTTGTAGCTTCCTATGTTCCTTGTCCAGCTTCTTATCCACCTTCAGCTCCACTTGGAAGGCTGGCGCAGCTTATCGTTCTGTGAGAGCAGCTACTGCCTTGACTTCACTTCTTCCTGTACCTGCTCAGCTCCTGGCGGCGGCTGCAGATCTCCTGGATCAGCTGCCGATCGTGTCTCCTCCTCGCTGATGTCTCTCTGTAACCTCTCATTTTCCCCCTTCACACTGGTGTGCTCTAGCTGAAGGTGCTCGAGACCTGCAGCCTTCCTAGACAGGGACTCAAGTCATTTCCCATTGCCTTTCTGTTTATCTCTGGACCCTTTCTCGAGCGTCATACAGAGGGCCTGGTTCTGCTTCCTCAGGAAATGTATCTCTGATGCCAGAGAGCTGTGCAACTCTGAGCCATAAGCAGAAACATTTGTGGAACCTTGGTCAGTCTCAGACCCCTGCCATTCCAGCTGTTTCCGGAGCTTCTCATTTGTTTTAATAGGTTCTTCCAAACGCTTTCTCAAAGTTCGAATATCCTGTATGTGTTCCATTAGTAAGTCTTGAGGAAAATGGCTCTCCATACTCAGGAGCTTCCCAGTCTAGTTGTCTGCCGTTTGGTCTCAGGACAGGAAGGACTTCCCACACATCCCACCATCTGACAGTGTGTGAGAGGCAGAAGGCCCAGGAGAGTCAGGCAGGAGGTGATGATGGGTTAAGTCGTCTTCCTCAGTTTGTAACCTTTCTTACAGTTTCCGCTCCGGCCAACACTCCATGGAGAATCAGCTTTTCCAGTTGCTCAGGCAGCTCAGCACACTGTGTTAGCTGTTCCCGGAAGCCCTCAGCCACTCAGCTATCCACATCGCTGGCCTGCAGAAGCTCCTTGCATGCCTTGATCATGGTGCTCATGTGTTGACGGTAAATGACAGATGTCATGGCTATCCTTAATCTGCTGCCGCTGTAGGGGAGCTCCCTGGCTTGAGACTGAACCAGTGAATCCTATCTTGATGGGGAGTGGTCTCGGAACTTGTTCTCTAGGTCTTGGATTTCACTGAAAAGTTTCAAGTTAAAATTCTGCTCCTTCTGTAGCTCCTTCTGTTCCACCAGCTACTGAGTGAGGCTCTCTGGCATCCCGCTGTCAATCATCTCTGGGGTTAGTGGACAGAGGATTTTCATATGCTTCACATACCGTACTTGATGCAAACTTGAAATTGTCATCTCTTCATCATCTGTTTGGCCCATAGACTTGTTCAAGCCATCTTGAGCCCCATCTGCCCCACAAAAATCTGTGATAATGGCCTCACTGCACTGAGAGGCTTCTGTAACTGGACAATGAAGTTCTGGTAGCTATCCAGCTCAGTTTGCAAGGCATGGGTTTTCTGTTTTAAGACTTCTGTGTCATTGGGGATATTGATGGTCTCAGACTGGTCAGTCCCAATCACATAGTCTTTAATGGAGAGTTGACTCTTAGAATTCAAGTAAGTGGCTACAGAGGTTGGGCCTAAGAAGTCTCCAGTGTTCTCTTTGCATGCTGGTAATAGGGCAAGGTCATCAGGTGCACACATTTCAGAACCCATCTCAAAGCTCGTGTATTGGTCACTGTCCGCTTCCTTGTCTTTCCAAGCAGAGTGTGTGGTTTCAGGTCCTGCTCTCCTGGGTTGTCCTGGTAGGCTGCTCTCACAACAGCTGCAGGCCCATTCAGCAACTCAGGGCTGGGTAGTGCATCCCCCTCCATCACTGCCTCTGCCAGAATTAGCTTGTCATGGAGTTTCTTATCACATGGTTCACACTCTTCCAGCTCCCCCTGCAGCTCTAGAACCAGAACCTGGAGCTGAGCTACCACCTCTGGGGAAGCAGGAAGGTCATACATACTTTCCAGTAACTCAGAAGCTTTTAATTGGAGCATCAAGTCTGTCTTCTCAGCATCCTTGTTGATTGTACTAGGGAATGGAAGGGGAGTGGCTCATAGCCCTGCATCTCACACAAGGCCTCTGACTCAGGGTCAGTGCTGAAAGTGGCCTCTTCTGGTTTCTCTTCCCAAGCTTCTCTCTTGCCCTTAGATTTGAATTCATGGGGGCGTCCTCTATGGTGGTAGTTTGCACTGGGGCATTCTTCAGCTCCACCTTGGCTCTGTCACCTGTCTTTACTAGCCAGGTCCCCCATGTTGACTTGAGTTCATTGTGTGACTTGGAGAATGAGTCGTCTGGGAAGGAAAGGTCAAGTTCATTTCTCAGCTGAGCAGCTACTTGCCGAAGTGCCTTCTTAGCTTTACTATCAAGGTGATCTCCAGGAAGTTCCTGCTCTCCCGAGTATATTCGTTCCAAAACCAAGGCACCCAGTGCTTTCAGAAGATCTGGTCTGGCTCCCAGCAACAGTGTGGCCTTCTTTTGGAACAAAGTGGCAAACAGGCCTAGGAGTTTGTCTTCCAGGCTCTGGTCTCCAAGGATACCAGGTGTGTTAGCCCCATCATGGTCTAAAATATTGGAATCCATATGCCTTAAATATTCATTTTTGCAGTCATTCTTGGCATAGTCCCCCATGATCTCTATTTTGTTGACTCAAGTCTGTCATTTCCCTGGAAACCCATGGGAAAGAAAGATCAAAAATGGTTTTCTTTAGGTGCTGGATGTCTATGTATAGGTCCTTCACAAACTGTATGAGCTCACTGACCTTTTTCTTGAGTTCTACTTGAGAAAAATGCTCCACTTGAAACTGACTGTGCTCATAAGGCAAACAGATATGATGTCTGATCACTATAAAGTGAAAACGGTTCTTCCTGCCTCCGAATTTCACTGAGCTGCTCCTGCAGGGCCTTCTGCAGATTCCGATAGGCAGGCCCATCCTGCTCCAGCTGTTGAGCTCAGCCTGCAGGTCACTGATACTATCTGAGCCCTGCAGAGTCTTCACCAGATGGGCATAGATGCTCTGTTCTATCTTTAAGTCCCCCGTCAGCCCTTCATAGTCTGATTGTTGCTTTTTCCGAAGCAGCAGGTTCTTCTGACTTCCACGTTCTGTTACACACCCAAGCACTCGCTCTGCAGTGTGGAGCTTTGTATTGCTTTCACTCGGCAGACTCCTTGCAATGCCTCTCCACTGCATTCTCTCTCTCATTCGCTTCGTTCCTTAGTTTTTCAGCTTCACTAAGGTCATGGGTGGTGTGGGCCCGTTTGCTCCCCTCTTGGTGGGCTTCCTCCAGGTCCCTCTCTAGTCTCAGTTTCTCCTGCTTCAGGTCACTCAACTCCTGGGTGACCATTTTATTTATTTTTTTAAAATATTTATTTATTTATTTATTTATTTATTTATTTATTTATTATGTATACAATATTCTGTCTGCATGTATGCCTGCAGGCCAGAAGAGGGCATCAGATCTCATTACAGATGGTTGTGGGCCACCATGTGGTTGCCGGGAATTGAACTCAGGACCTTTGGAAGGGCAGGCAGTGCTCTTAACCACTGAGCCATTTCTCCAGCCCCATGGGTGACCATTTTAACATTCCTAAGCAGTCTGCGCTTCTCAGCACGAGTGCAGCTCGGTCAACAAGGCTTCCTTTTTGCCAGGGCAGCCTCATAGCCCTCAGAGCCCTGGAATTCTGTGGCCTGTGTTACCAAGGGAGCCTCCCCAGGTTTGGTGAGAGCAGCAGTGAGCTCTTTGATATTGGAGCTAAGTTCTTCAACCTCTTTTTCCTTTGATTTTGATGCCATGGTTAGGCCCTGGATGGCTTTCTCCCTCTTTAAGCTATTTTTTCTCTGTAGCAATTTCTCTTTCCTTCTCTCTCAGGTCCTCCCGAAGTGCCTGGATCTTCTCTTTCAAGTGATGTCTCACTTTCTGCTGTTCTCTTGTGCAGCCTCAGTGTCTGTCTCCTTTGCTTCCTCAGAGAGGCAGAAAGTCCCAGGAGTTCTCCAGATGACACATTCTCATCGGGAGATGCCATCTGAGATTTCTCCTCATTAAGCACTGAATTAAAGCTTCTCTGCTCTTTAAAGACAGCTTCAACTACTCAGTCTGTCCTTGTCTTCCAGACCCAGAGTCAACTCCAGGTCCCCCGCCTGCATCTTCTTCATTGCAGAGGACTTGCTTTCCAAGCTGAGGCGAAACGCCTTCTCTATTTCCGTCTCTGCAAAGGCCTTCTCCAGTTCTGCCTGGGCGGCTTTCACATCTTCTAGAAGATGTATCTCTCCGTCAGGAGGTCTTCCACCTGCTGCACCTTCGGCGAGGCTCTCCACTGCGTCGGAGGCACTGATAAGCAACTGATCTCTCCCTGCTTCAGACTTTCCCTTCCACCTTGAGTTCAGTGTCTGTCCTGTAGATGCACTCAGTGGGCCAGCACACTCTTGCTGCATCCTTGCCTCAGGAAGTAGATGGGGAGTTTCAGGTTGAAGTTCTCCTTCTTCAGCTCAGTGATCTGATTCTCAAAGTCCTTCATGTTCCAGGCTCTGATAGCACAGACCTTTTTTCCTGCCACGTTTGGGAGCACTCCATTAAAAATATGGAACACTTCACGAATTCGCGTGGCATCCTTGCACAGGGGCCATGCTGATCTCCGTATGGTTCCAATTTAGTATATGTGCTACCGAAGCAAGCTCCTATACTTATTCTTAGACATTCGGTGGAATCAATCAAGGGAAGCAATTGTGTTGAACCTTTTTGAGGAAAGGCTTTTAAATAGATGTTTTAAGACTAAAATATTTTATGTGTATTGGTACTTGCGCCTGTATTGTGCACATGCAGCACAGATGTGCCTGCTGATGCTGGAACTAGAGTTACAGGTGGCTGCGAGCCGCTATGTGGGTGCTAGGAACCAAATCCAGATCCTCTACAAAAGTAGCGAGTGCTTTTATTTGCTGAGCCATGTCTCCAGCCAGGGTTGGTTTCTTTAATAAAGATATTTAGCACTCTTTTTGTGGGTGAGTTTTGGTAGTGTCTATACTGTTTCATCACAAATGTTTATTTTTAATTTATGTGCATCAGTGTTTTTCAGCAGGAAACGGGAAGTCACAGACAGTTCTGATCTGCCTGCCATGTGGGTGCTGGGAATTGAACCTGGGTCCTCTAGAAGAACAGCCACCTCTTCAGCCCCAAGATGTGATTTTTTTTCTTCTTTTCTTTTCTTCTTTCTTTCTTTCCTTTCCTTTCCTTCTCTTTTTTTTTTTTTTTTTTTTTTTTTTTGAGACAGGGTTTCTCTGTAGTTTTGCAGTCTGTCCTGGAACAAGCTTTTGTAGACCAGGCTGGCCTCGAACTCACAGAGATCCTCCTGCCTCTGCCTCCTGAGTGCTGGGATTAAAGGTTTGCACCATCACTACCTGGCTATCACAAATGCTTAAATTATTGGAAAAAATGGTTCAAAATAGTCATTAATTATCATCTTAATGATTACAGAAGCTTCAGCCCTGTTGCTGTTCTTAAATTTTATTGATTTCTGCTCCTTAGTATGTCCTTCTTTCAACACTCATTTCTTGACGTTCAAATTCAGATCATTGAATTGAGATATTCTTTTCCTGTTTGAACAAGTCAGAAGGAAACCTAAAAGCTACTAGTACACCTAAATTAAAATTGAATTGTAATATTAACCAATTTTCTTACATTTGTATTGCTTTTCAAAGTTACAGTTTTCTCTAATAGTTTTTCTGTTGTGAAATAAATAACGTGAGTTTAAAAACATTTTCAAAGGACACAGAGAACTAGTCGGGGTAGGCTTTCATAGTCATCTCAAAATCCCAGCGGCTTAATGCAGTGAAGGTTTGTTCATGCCGTGCATCGACTGTGACTCCTCAGGAGCCCTACCCATACCCAGGACCCACACTGGCTGAGCCTCCATCATCCGGAACTGTATCACCTAGCATGTGGCAGGGAAGAGAACACTGAAGGATGTCCCCACATGGGCCCATCTACCAGCGAGAACCTAGGAATTAATGTGCATATGTACGTGGTGTGTAATGTGTGCTGGTGTCAGTGGACACCATTCTGCTGAAGTACTAAATAAAACGGGAAGTTTTCATCGTGTATATTCCAGGAGCTTCAGTGTTGTACCTTATCAGTTATATATAACAAGTTTCGAAACCACTATCAAACAAGAATTACATCTTAAAAGAGTGTGCATTTATGTTTTGGAAGGATAGTTTTCTGAGCCAACAGCTGACTACAGTCTCCTGTGGGTACAGCAGTGACAGAGCCCCTGCATTTAGATGGGGCCTGTTTTTAGACGGTGCTTTCATGGATAGGCTGGGCCCCTTTCTTCACTTCCACTTGTGGTTTGGCCATAACTGATTTTAGGACTAGGGTATGTGGAACCCTGACAAGTTCAGGAGTGTTCTCTGCAGGTCCTTTCCATGCAGCAGCCTCACACAGACAGCTGTGGCACTGTCCCGTGTCCTGCACCCCAGGCCCAGTGTCTCCTGCTGCAAACAGTGCAGAAACTTAGGACCAGAAATGAGATTCTGCAACACGATTGCTGGATTATAAAAGTGCCTGAAGTTACTAACCCTTTTTACTCTCCAACTCTCATGAATGTACAGAGAATTTTCCAGAAGCAGTACAATATGTGGGGTATCTAGACAGATTAAATGCAGATGAGAATTTAGCTAATATTCACCTAGATACTAAAACAATTGTGAAATTGTAAATTTGCTCAATTGTTTTGGTTTGGGAAAATATAGTGATTTTTCATTTAAAAATATTATTTAGAACAAAAGTGTTAAGAAATCCTTAAACCAAACAGTAAGAACTACTTGTGTGGACACTGGGAAAACTGCTATACTAGAGAGTTCTCTAAGCAGATGCTGTGTTAGGTGTGCCCAACTCCACATCTCAAGTGGACTGTCAGTCTAAGCACAGGCCTCCTCCTTCCTGCTCAAAGAAACCGAGATGGGAAGCAGTTGGGCTGCCTCTAGTCCATGGTGTTTGCTTTCTCTACAGGGACATTTAGACTGTTTACTAGAAAGGCTGTTAATGATGGCCACTTCTGTTTCCCTTCACAGAGGTTAGGCACACCTTTTGTATAGTGAAACAACACACAAGGAGCCAATGGTATAGCATGTTAGTGTAGCAGAGTCAGTATAGCATGTTATGTAGTATAGTAAGTATAGCATGTTATGTAGTATAGTAAGTATAGCATGTTATGTAGTATAGTAAGTATAGCATGTTAGTGTAGCAGAGTCAGTATAGCATGTTATGTAGTATAGTAAGTATAGCATGTTATGTAGTATAGTAAGTATAGCATGTTATGTAGTATAGTAAGTATAGCATGTTAGTGTAGTATAGTAAGTATAGCATGTTAGTATAGTAAGTCTAACATAGCTCTCAGGAGGCAGGGGCTGGTGAACCCTGGTCTACAGAGCGAGTTCTAGGATAGCCAGGGCTCCGCGGTGCTATAGATAGAAAGCACAGAAGGGCCCCGCAGGTCTGCCAGCACTTCCCTGCTGCACCAGATCTCAAAGACAAGATGTCTGGGAAAGGCCTTCCATGTGTGTGCTCCAGGTTGCACTTGAGGCACATGAATAGATACAGGAAAGGACCTTATTCTGTACATCTCTGAACCCCTGTGGAGCCTTCTCAAGGGAAACTCTGGACAGGTAGAGTAGAAGACGATTTCGCCTCATTCTGGGAGCCTACTGAAAGGAGAAAATACTGGAATTTTTGGATATTTGTAGTAGATTATGCAAGAAGGGACTACATATATAAAATTCTCTAAGAAATGTTTCACCTGAGAAAGTTTTCTTTTCTATAGCCATACTCAGGAACCACTGTAAAATGACCCAGAACTTTACTTCTTGCGTGTTCCCTTTAATTGCTTTTCCACCTCCAGATGTGTGCCTTCCCTGGGTTTTCTCCCACACACTCTGTGTCAGACTCCTCATCTAGCCATTCCAGGCAGGTTTTAGAACCGAGCCTTCCTGAGCCTTACATTAGCCAGCGCTTTCTGGCTTTGCTAATTCCTTTGGATGGACGATGTAAGCAATAGAATAGCTGAAGATAGAGCATTCTCTTGCTTCTTTTGCTCCAGAGATACACTTTTAAGCCTGGATTTTAAAGAAATTGCTAATTTTCATTCATTTTGGGAGGAACCACAGTCTATGTGTGGAGGTCAGAGGACGACCTGAAAGTCAATTTTCTCCTTGCACCACATGGGGTTGCGGATTCAACTGAGGTTATGGGCTTGGCAGCAGACACCTTCACTATCTGAACAAGCTCACCTGCCCTGAAGTTTTGTGATTTATTTTTTTTAAATATTTATTTATTATGTATACAATATTCTGTCTGTGTATATACCTGCAGGCCAGAAGAGGGCACCAGACCCCATTACAGATGGTTGTGAGCCATCATGTGGTTGCTGGGAATTGGACTCAGGACCTTTGGAAGAGCAGGCAATGCTCTTAACCTCTGAGCCATCTCTCCAGCCCCTGTGATTTATTTTTAATTGTGTGTTTGTGTACACTTGAGTCGAGCTGCCCATAGAAACCAGAAGCACTATATCCCTGGAACTGGAGTTACAGATAGCTATGAAACATCCAGTGTGGATGCTGAGAACCAAACCGGCTCCTCTATGGGAGTATTTGCTCTTTACCACTGAACCAATTCCTGGTCCAAGATTTTATAAATGTGATCCTTCAGCATTTTCCTCCCTCACCCCCATTTTAAAACAACATTGGCATGTTTAAAATTAAGCCAATGTGTCTCTTGTTCCAAGGAGAGCTTTGTGTGGTCTGTCCTTCCCTCCAGGCTTCTTTCCTTATTCAGGCCACCCCCATTGGGCATGCAGTATCCATCAGGTGGACAGCTACATTTCTTTGTCCTTGTTTGCTAGATCTGGAATGGACCGTTTTCAGAGAGGGTCAAGTTAAACTGAAGTGAGGATGGTGGGGGGGGGGGACCTTGAGAGCTTGTTTCTTGGGTTTCTTTTATACCTATAGTTTTAAAATACTGTATTTTTAACACAATTTTTACATATTTTTAAAAATAAAATGTACACCTTAATAAGTTTATGGCACACAAGACTGATGGTGCTGGGTCAGAAGATCCATACTGAGTCAGCAGAGCCGGCCAGTAGATCTCTCCTGGGTCAGTCCAGTTGCCGACAGTCACTGGTGGGCCTCAAGCAGCCCCGGCAATTAGTTGAAGGCCCAGAGCAGAGTAGCCCTCCAAAGCCTGCCCTGCTGAGTCCTAGACAGTCACAACAGAAATGTCCACGTCTTAGCTCAGAGCAATCTCACCTACCTAAACAGCCCCTCATGGGCCCAAAGAAGCCCCTATCTGATTGCCCTTCACTTCTAGGGAGGCCTGGCCCCCCAGCCTCTTCTGAGGCCCCTTTGTCAACCAAGGTGGCAGTTTCTACTGGATGGTGCCAGCCCGTCAACCCCAGCCTTTGATCCTGGGCCATCCCTTCAGGCCCTTGAGGACACAGTGGACTCGAAACTGCCTATCTAACCACAGGTTCTGGACCTTATTGAGATTCAGGTATGGAGTCTATCTTGTGGAACAGGCCTTAAATCCAAGCAAAAAGTGGTTGGTTACTTCTATAACATTTGTGCCACTATTGCCAGGCAGGTTGTTGTTAGAGCTCAGGTTATAGCTGGATGAGACAATTACTTTTCTCCTCTGGTAGCATATATAGTATCTTCCAGCAACATAAAAACTTGCCAGTAGGGGAAAGCTTCCAGGTCAGTACCAGCTAGATTTCTCAAGTATGTGTTATCTTCAGCAATAGAGATTTGTTTACTTGTTTGTTTTTCCAAGACAGGGTTTCTCTATAGCTTTGGAGCCTGTCCTGGAATCAGCTCTTGTAGACCAGGCTGGCCTCGAACTCACAGAGATCCACCTGCCTCTGCCTCCTGAGTGCTGGGATTAAAGTTGTGCGCCACCACTGTCCAGCTTAGCAATAGGGTTATACCATCAATTTCTAGAGGGCAACCAATACATTGGCAATAGGTTATGATATTTGGGTGCAGGTGTATGAACATCATTGACAAACAACTCAAAAATAATAAGTGACCCATCCCAGGTACTGGTGGTTTGATTTGGAAGGTGTATGGTATCTAATTGGTTTGCCTATCACTCCCAGCATAACTCCATTTAAACTTGTACTTTCCAAGGGCCTTTTGTTTTTTTAAGACAGCTTCTCTGTAGCCTTGACTGTCCTAGAACTCACTCTGTAGACTATCCTGGCCTCAAACTCAGACACCCACCTGGCTAGCCTCCCAAGTGCCAGAATGTCAGGTGTCTGTGCACCACCACTGACTCAAAGGCCTTTAATATTGGCTATCCCTCAGCATAGTCTGTTCTCTACTGTGCGCTCCCAAGCCCTGCCCAACTTAATCATTCCTGATCCATTTTTCTCTTCTCCAAAATGTATCAAGAAGGGATGTTGTTTTGGTTTGTTTTGTTTTTTTTTTTTTTTTTTTTTTTTGGTCATAGGCCTTTTCTATAACTGATGAGATGATCATTGTGGGTTTTGTCCTTCTATTTATGTGAAGGATTACATTTACTGATTAACTTATATGGAACCACTCTTATGTCACTGGGAGGAAGCCAACTTTATCATAATGATTAACATTTATGTCTTCTTAGATTCTGTTTGCAGGTATTTTGTTGACTCTTTGCACTTACATTCATAACAAATATTGGTCCTTAATTTCCTTTAGTTGGTCTGTATAATGGAATAAACTGAGGAATATTGGTGTTTTGAGGGTTTTGCAAAATTCCAAACTCTTTCTGGCCCAGGCTTGTTTTAGTTGCGAGACTTTTAATTGCTGCTTCTATCTTTTTAGATGTTATGGGTCTATTTCAATTTTTAACTTTGATAGGTTGTACACATACAGAAATGCATTTCTAAAGCATGTCCTCATGATTCTGTGAATTTCCTCAGTGTCTGCTGTAATGTCATTCTCATCTCTAATATTAATTTTGATCTTCTTTTGGTTAATTTGGCTAAAGGTTTATCAATACTATTAATGTTTTGAAAGAACTAAATCATCTTTTCATTGTACTGTTCTTCTTTCTATTTCATTGATTTCACCTCTAAGTTTAATTCTTCCTGTCTACTCTTTTGGGTGTCTGTTCTTATTCTTTAAAGCTTTCAAGTGTATCATTAAGTTATTAATATGAGCTATCTGCAGCCCTAGCTGGTCTGGATGTTCTGTCTCTGTAGACCAGGTTAGCCTTGAACTCAAGAGATCCACTTGCCTGTGCCTCCTAGGAGCTGGTATTCATTCAACACACATGCCACTATGCCTCTATGTTGCGTAATATTACACCTTATATTTCACTTAAAATATTGTAGAAATTTATCGTTAATGTGTGAAGTTTCAGCAAGAATAGAAATAGTGCTTTCACTAGAATTAATCTTCCTATCTGAATAAGCTTTTTAAATGTTGTTCTTGTAGAAGGGATCAAACCCAGGGTTGTGAACATACAAGGCAAATGTACTACCTACCACTGTGCTACATCCCAGCCCTCTTGATATTTTAATGGCTGCATACAGCACATCTTAATGATATCCCTACCATGTGTTGGGTAAACCCATCTAATTGTTGACATCCCTCAGATTTGTTGTTAGGATTCCGCTGTTTTTCTTGCTGGTGTGTGTGTTTGAGATATATGTTGCTATCTGGGGTTTTGAGAGGGTGGAGTGCTGGAGATTACTCCAGGAGGGGTTTTGTATATTCCAGACAATAAACTTTATCCTCTCTCTTTTTCTTGAAAGGCCATTTCTGGAATATTCTTCCTCTCTGACTGCTTTCCCACTTGTCCATGCATTTGACACTCAAGGTTCAGCTCCCGCCCTTTGCTCTTGTTTTTTGTTCTTGGGCACCTATGCCTCCAGTCCTGCTCTTTCCTGCGTTCTCTGCCCAGCTGCCACATTTAAACAAGTGTATCCTAAGAAGAACTCCTGCTCTTTCCTGTGTTCTCTCCCTGGCTGCCACATTTAAACAAGTATATCCTGAGGAGAACTCCTGCTCTTTCATAGGCCCCCATTATTCTCAACCTAGCGATTTTTGAGCTTCAGAGAAATCTAGATGGAAAAAGGTGAAAATGGCTACTCAAGAATGGCCCCTACACATAAGCTCTAAATTTCACTGTCAAAAGGACAAAAAGAGAGCTTGTCTGGAGCAGCTGATTACCCCGAGCCTGCTTCTTCTAATGTTCTGACTGAGGTAAATGCAAGTTGTTAAAATCATACTTAATAGAGAAGTTACACTTTTATGTAATATTTAAAGACAGCTCAAAAACTGACCACGTTTGATCATGATCTCTCTTCATAGCGTTAGGAGAGATCACTGTCTGTGCATCTGTTTGTCACTAGAAGTGCCACTTCACTCACAAGTCACAAGTCTGTGCAGATGGAGAAGCATGTGAGGTTTTACAGTAGAGAGACCCCCGAGATAACATCAAGGTTTTTCTTTTTGCAGGGAAAGAAAACAAAGTGAAGCTGTTTCTTGTCCTACGTCTTCATCAGATCGTCTTGAATTAAAATGACAGCTCTTCCTTCAGAGAACTGCTCTCTCCAGCCCCTGTCACACCAGTCGAAGCAGCCCGTAGATGTTAGCTGTCTGTTGTTCCTCATCATACTTGGGAAAACGTTATTGAATATCCTCATGCTAGGGCTGAAAAGGAAAGACACCCACTGGGGCTTTATGGAGTGCTTCTGCTTCTCACTAGCATTTGTTGATCTTCTGCTGTGGGTTAACCTTTCCATTCTGTTCTACTTCAGGGACTTTGTAGTTCTAGGTATTAGGTTCACACAGTATCATATTTGTCTGCTCACACAAATTATTTCCTTCACTTATGGCTTTTTGCATTATCCAGTTTGCTTACTAGCTTGTATAGATTACTGTTTGATTCTGTCTGGAGCCACCAAGCACTCATCTAAGTGGCAAAAGTTATTTTATTTCTTGACAGTCATTTTAACTTGGATTTCAGTCTTTGCATATGTTCTAAGAGAGCCAGCCATCGCACAAAGCCTGCAGACACACAGCGCTTCTCTATACCAATGCCCTTCCTATGTCAGTACACAGAGTTACTGGCTGTCATTGTCTATGCTGGTAGTTTTATGTGTGGCTTTTCTGATTTCGTGGCCGGAAGTTGTTGCCATGGTACAAGCTATTAGGATAGCATCCTATATGAACAAGACCATCCTCTACTGTCCCTTCCCATCCCACTCTGGAGTGAGCACTAGAGAAGCACTCTTGCCCAGGCTTATTGTGTGCTTTCTTGGTACCTGGTTTCCCTTTGTAGCACTTCAGGTCCTCACCCTCTCACTCAGAGTTCAAATCCCAGCATACATAGAAATGAACGTGCCCTGGCTGTACTTTGTCAACAGTTTTCTCATTGCTGCAATTTCTTGGTTTAACTGCCAAAAGCTTTATTTAAGGGACAGCACATTACCTCTGGATCCTTTTGTCAACTGGAAATGCTGTTTTGTTCCAATCCATAGACTTAAGCAAGTGGAGAGGCCTAGATCCATAATCATCTGTTCACAGGCTGCTGTGCTGGGAGGAACTCCAGAAGCACCACAGACAGACCTGGTGGCTCCAGACACAGAACTGAAGCTCGTGTCCCCCTAACTTAGAACTTCTTAGCACAGCCTCTCTGTAGTGGATATTAAATAGTGCTAAGGAAACAACAAAGTTTCTATGCCTGTTCAGCAACACTGTGTACTATTTGATGTTAATCCAAAAGTAAAACAAACACATTAACGTGTGGCCAGCTTGATGTTTACTCCAATCTGAGATTTCACTGCCAACTTTAAGATCTGAACTTAAATATTTTATCAACTTTAGAGAAAAAATAAACTTTAAGGGAAATATTAGCTCATTTTAAATATAGCTAAGATATTATAAATATTCCTGGAAAGTTTCAGCTGTTCAGCTTATGGAACTGGGATCCATAGGGGCTCTTGCCATAACATATCAATTGCATGTTCATTTATGTCAGATCATAATCATGTTAGCAACATAGACTATAAAAAGCCTCAGACTCTTATTTAGGGCTAGATGATTCTGTCTTAAAGGGTAACTCCACACATTGTATAAATGCCAATGACACCTTCCCCAGAAGTGGCAATCACATATTCCCAAACCTCCTGGGCACAACTCCTCATCACTTCCAATCTTCTGGGAAAACAACCCCTAAAGAGAAGCAATGTAAGTCAGAATAAGCTGAACTCATATTATGAATTAAGCTACATAGATATGTTGGCTGCTCTTTAGAAACACCATGTGTTTCAAGAACCACTCCTAGCATTTCTAACATGAGTGGCTTAGAGGCTGGGGCTAGACTCACTAGGAAGAGTGCTTACAGCACACACAAAGTTTAGGTATGCAGTAGTGTAGTAGTGTGTGCCTGCAATACCTGGGGAGCTGTAAACAGGAAGACAAGAAATTCAAGGTCAGCCTGGGCCACAAGAGATCTTTTAGTCTCTCTCCCACCAAGCAAGATGTTTTAACAAGTAGTTGTGACCTGCGTTTGATACTTAAGATATCAAACATTCCAGACAACACTTTGTGATGCAAACCTAACCTGAGTCATTCTAAGAAAAAGGGTACAGGCTGGGTAACGGAGGCACACGCCTTTAATCCAAGCACTCAGGAAGTAGAAGTGGGCAAATCTCTTGAGTTCAAGGCCAGCCTGGTCTACAGAGCAAGTTCCAGGACAGGCTCCAAAGCTACACAGAGAAGCCTTGTTTCAAAAAACCAAAACTAAATAAATAAAAGCACTGGCATAATGAGGTGGTGAAATAAACTAGGAAACGTGGGATGTCACGTTTCATTTGTTAATGCAGAGGAAATGCCAGCTGCCTATAACCTGAGCTTTTATTATCCCAATTTATGGCTCCTATTTTCAGATATAAAACCTCGGCGAATGGCTGACCTGATTTAAGTCATATGCTCATCTGTGACGCATGGCGATGGGGACTGAACCCAGGGCAGCAGACATGCTCCTGTGATGGTGCACTGAGCTCAGATGTCAGGAGCTGGCCTTGTAATTCGTGGTGCATGCTTTCCTTGCCATGTTTGCCTCCGCCCTCCAATGGCCATAACATGAGAATAAAACATACTTAGCTATATTGAACTTAATGTATACTTTTAGTAGATTATATGCTAGGAAATGTATAACCAGTTCAGCCCTCCATTAAGGTCTTTACTTAGATTTTCCCATATCTCAAAAGCTTAAAGAAGTAAAAATACAATAACCAGTCAAGTTTTTATTTGTAAAGAACTGAAGTTACAACTGGTCTACAATATATTATTGTAATATAAACAACATAAATAAAAGATCCTGTAGGCCCACCACTAACTTCCACCCAGACCCACTCAAAGCCTTGTTACAATACTTTATGTGAAAGTGTGCAGGTAACAAAGGTGCAATCCAAGCAAGTTTAAGCAGCAGAGTATAAGGTGCTTCCATTAGCAGTTAACATCGCCAGCAAACATCTGATGCTCCGTTTTACTCACTGAATAGACATACGAACAGGAAGTCTAAAATTCATACACATGCGACTTAATATGAAAGTGCTTTCTCTTTTCTTAAAAAAATACATCAAATGAACAGATTTTACATAGATAATGGTGTGCTCTTATAATGCAAAATTAACTTCATTTTTAGGTTATACATTGTAAAACTGTAGCTATGAACACCAGTCTAGGAAGTCTATGCTAGGGTGCTACAACTATGTCATTTTCTGTGAGGACTCTAATACAACATCCCATGTAAGACACATCCATAAAACCTTAATATTTGCTTTCTCTAAGATTAAAACACATTTTCATTCCCCGTTGGTGGTGCTTTTTTCCTTGATGAATCATCTTTTGAGATTTTATTATGAAACTTTGATTATAGAACAATGGGAAGAATCAAAAGTAAGATTATTTTTTTAAAATGTGCTTAAAAGGTTAAAAAGTAGTTAATCACAGCAACTTGCCCCTGTGGAACAAATCTAAAGCAGTAAAGAGAACATTCTACCTGAATCAAGAGGCTGGAGTCCTTTCCTACTGTCAGCATCCGCTCCTGTGCACACTGTCTGCAACACACAACCTGCATTCCTAGCACAATCCTGCAATTTCCAAGAACATCTCAATTTTGGAAAAAAACAAAAACAAAAACAATAAGACCCATCTTTTGAATAAGGTGATTAGCAGTCCATCAATGTGAGAAATCACACACAAAATTACAATTTCTGTATTCTTGGGTGAAGTATGAAGTTCCAAGAATACATCTACAAAATCAGTGTTAATGCTACAGAGATCTAAATAGCATGGGATATATTACAATTTAGGTATACTTTAAAGAACTTAAAACACTTTAAGAGTAACCAGCATCACAGAACAATTTAAAGGCCAGATTACTGGGCTATTTGGATTAGTATACCTTAAAAAAAAAATATCTGTTCGAATGCATCCATTATATATAGTCATCTAACACTTTCCTTGGACATTTTCCCACCTTAAAAAGCTACAGCTATGATACATAAAAGTTTTTAAAATATATTTTTATATCTTTATAAAGAATGTTAGTATCATCAACTGATATTAGTATTTAAAGAAAAAATTACAACCTGATTCACAGAATCCCAGAGTTACAAGAGAATTTACCCAATTATAACTGATTGTGACTCCATCTCTACTCGCCAAACACTTGCGGCGCAGCACGACCTGCGTTATTACCAGTCCTGTGTGTCATGATGCAGCGCATCCCTCCTCTGACTGACAGCAGCGCACACCACAGTCAACACTGGAGAAACAGCAGCAGCCTGTTCGGCCTCCTCTCAGATGTTTCTGTTTTGGAAAACTGCTCTTATCAATACTGGATCTAAAGATGTCTAAGATTCCACATCAGCTTCTCATCTGCCACACGCCATGCCCAGGACTAGTCTGACACTACCTGTCACAGCCCTCACAGCTGTCACGGCAGGTGTTCACACTGTTGTCGACAGATGTGCAGTATGAGAGGGGTGATGTGACTGGACCCCTCGGTTGTTAATAACCCCAGTTCCCAGGCAACAGGGCATTAACTGGGAGTAAGTACATATATGCTTAAGCAGCAGTGAGGTTGTCTGGGAAGACTGGATTTGTTACTTTGTTTTTAGTCGTATATGCTGCACAGGGCGAAGTGTCCAGTAGTGACAAATGGATGAACAGGTGCGTGTGGAGAGTAGTCACCTGTGGTAATCCCAATTATGGAGCTCAGGACTAGTTTTAGAGCTGGGGGAGGATATTTCTTCAGTAATTACTTAAGCCAAAAATCAACAGTGCAGGAATCACACTGCACATTCAAATGAGATTACAAACCAAGCTAATTTGCCATCTGGAGCAATCCCAAGCTCACAGCCACAGTGTTTCATCTCCATCAGCAGGGCAGTGCAGCTAGTGGATTCATGTTACTACTAAAGAAAAATAGCAATTTTGCTCATTTTTTAGTACTACCAAAACATTTAACACAGGTACTAAGTACATGAACTTTAAACACTGTACATATTTAGTTTACTTGCGGCAAGACTACAGAAGTCCCTTCCTTCTACAGTGGGTTCATGTTTGTTTCAATGATGTAATCTCCACGCCTTTTCACCACTGTCAGAGAAAAGTCCACAAAGCAGTTAACACTGACGTACTCCATTAAGCCAATAGGGACTATGACATCTAAGATGACTGGTGTTGATTTAGGCAGTATAAAAGGACTTAATACATACATCCCTCTTATATTTCATAAAGTTATGCCATGCTAGCATGTTTTAAATTTATACTGACTGTTTCAAAATTAAAATTTATTCATTACATACCTTCTTTTAAAGTTTTCTTTCTACAGATTCATACCCAATACCAGGAATATCACGGAGAGCAGTAGGTGTACACTTGAAAAGCAACAGAAAGACCTCTGCCTAAATATAAGGTGTTAGAACCTCATTTTGTACCTAACATTTTACTTTAATTGCATTTTAAAATAAAACACAATGTCCACAAGCTACCAAAAGGGAAAAAAAAATAAAATCATCATGGAAATAATTTCCCGTAACTATGGCACTTGCCAGAGAGTGTGTACACACATGGGACTCTGTCTTAGGGAAGCTGGGACCACTTCACAACAGAGGGCAGGACCTCCTAATATTTTACTCTGGAACATGATGGTAGTCATTGTTTTTCAATTGGTACCTTGTAACTTTCAAAAGGAAAAAGAAAAATTTCTCTTGGTATAATTTCAAAGTAGCTTGAACTCTAGAACTAATACGCACAACTTTTAAGGTCTTAATATTTTAGGTAACTTTTTTAAAAAGCTAATGTCATTTTCAACATTTTAAATTGAAGAAACAGCTTTTTTTTTCAACTATAAACTGTAGGGTAATGCATTTTATAATCTTCTAACACAAAAGAAATATCTTCCCAGAATTTAAGATATATGATTCAATAGGTTAAAATTAAATATTAGTAACATATTTACTATTTCTAACACTTATTTTTACTCATCTAAACTGAAAACTAATCTTTGAGATGAAACAAAATATTCTAAATGGACTGATAAGATATCAATACTGGTGGCTGTGAGTTGAACAGTTCATGTCATGAACACAGGCAGGCTTGTGCTTACTGGGACCCAGTCACTGATCCTCAGACTGAGACACAAACTGCCTTACAGTGCCCTGAAGACTGTGTCAACTGTGATATCCAATGTGGAAACTCCTCTAATTTCTGTCTACTCACAACAACTTCTAAGTTCTGACAGATACTCTCTCTCCCCCTCTTACTAGTTATCCTTAGAAATCCAGGACTACTCACTTGGGTACCAGTGGTACCAATAACATCAGCCCACCTCAGAGCAGGGTCAGGTGATAAGAGAAAGAACTCATTTGATTAAAGGCAAATCTTGACATTTAAAACCACCAGGGCTAGGTTTGGCATGGTGGCACAGACCTGCACTCCAGCACTTGAAAGAAGGCCAGAGGATCACAATTCCAGGTTAGTAAAGGCAATCAAGCAGAAAGCACAGGATGTAAGCTCAGAGGTGGAGTGTGAAGCCCTGACCGCAGACCCTAGTACCAGCAAACAGGACAACTAACACACTGTAAGACCTTCACATTGCTACAGTGGGAATCCAACCACCCAGCACCATGGGTCTTTCTAAGCTGCTAATGACCACCATCATGTTAAATGTCTTCATTTAGCTAGCCTTGTTGTCTTCCTGTCAGCTCCCAACCACACACACACAAGATGGGTCCAAGGTCCAACTAGTCACAGTTAGATGTATGGTGCACAAGAAACATACCTAGGAAATGATTTGCATAGATGGACAAACCTTTCATTGAAATACAACTGGTATGGTTATAAAGGTCTAGCCTGTTACAAAATCCTGAAGATTTCCAAGCAGGATACTACCCAGCCCCAAGCCAAGAACTAATAAGAAAGCTCTATGCAGCTTATTTGGGGTAGGATTGGGGGCAGAAGGGGCTTAGTGAAAGAAATGAGGTGAAGCCATTCCATGCCACTAACAATACCAGTTGGCAGCAAGTGTTGCTGGCATCACAAAGGATGAAAGTCTTCAAACCGCAACATACAGCCTCTCAGGCTGAAAACACGTCTGAAATGCGTTAACAGTATTACCAGGCAGAGTTCACACAATGACAACAGCTGCAAGATCAGCTTCATTCACATGCATCAGTAGTAATTTATTCTTTCTAAAATCACGTATACACATGAAATCCAAGCCTAAAATCACACGACTACCTTCCCTACCTCTCTGGTTCAGGATCGTACTGAGTCCCTTAAGCATGGCTCTGAGTTCTGAGGCACACGACTAAACAAACTTGTAAGAAACTGTGTCCTGTGAAAGACGTCAATCCAAGACTCATATTGTAAACAGATCTGTGACTAACAATTTTGCACTTATTATATGAAGACTGACTATGGAAAAACTATTCAAAAGCATGGTCCAATACAAACAACAAAAGAGGGAAGCAGCAGGATTCCTAAACACACACACAAACCCACTCCTATTTATTTAGGTAACCCAAAAAGTGCAGAAACGTGTTCAATGCTGCAATAATGGAACTAACACAGTGGGAAGCCCCATTTGCCTCTTAGCCACTCTCTAGCTCACTCACTGCCATCTCTCCTCCCAGGTGAAGCTTTAACCCGGATGTCACAATTAGAAAGAACTCCACACAAATGGAAGCGAATGTAACCATCGCAGTTCCATGCCCTCAAAGCTGTCACGGACGAAGACAGCATTCCTCTGCTGTGCTGATTTATAATGAAGCTGTGTAGCTGTGCCCTGCACACGTCTACACAAAGCTTGTAAGTACTGTCATATAAAGTAACTTTTACAAGCCAGCTGTTTATTTCCCTAAGAAAATAGAACTTAAATAAAATGTGAAAGGTATGTCCCATGGTGGAAAAGGATTTAAAGTAAGGAAATGCAAACTCGAGTAGCAAAAATAGGATGAACTCATGTTCCCCTCTGCTTGTCTTTTTTTTTTTTTTCCTCCAGGAAAGTTCTTAAAGCACTTAGTAATACAACAGGGAATGAAAATGGCATTCTTCCTATCTATGTCATACTGAAGAGTCTAGTGCTCAGGAGAGAGGGGGACATACATATTATTAAAGCTTTCAAATTAGGATGATTAAATTAAAGAAATACCTGCAGCAATGGGAGAACTACCAAATGACAGCAAACAAGCCATTTCTTAAAACAACCCACTTGTAGGGGAGAAAAGTTTATTTTCTTGTTGAATTTAAGTGCGGACAACAGAAGATCTGGACTACATCTAAGATTAAGGACAAGAAGGCATTCTCCAGCAGAAACTCTTCGTGTACACTGCTTAGGGATACTTAAAGGCAGTGCTAGGCCCAGGGGTTTCTCATAAGCACACAGTGGGCTGATTCTAGTAGAACTGTAGAGTTAATACCTTAAAGGCTATATAATAAGCATTTGCAAGAGGGAAAGCATTATTGCTGGAGGTCTATACTGGACAATCAACTCTGTATTAACTGTGGATTACTACAATCCAGTTTTAATTCCAGAGGAAATCTACCTTTGTGCCTCCTTCATATAGTAGCAATCTCTGAGTGCTGCTTAGTCTATGTTTAGGAGGATGAGGGGAAAATCTATGACAACTCCCATGACGACTGATTACTACTAATAAATGGGATGGACTAGAGAGTACCTACCTTTCTAGAAACGTTAATAACAAAATGTGATGCAAAGAAATATGTAACAGAGATTATACTACTGTAGGTTTGAAACATGAGCCTCCTGCTACTTTCACATTCTGAGTCTACACAGGACTAGCAGTGAACACCTCTTCAACTACTACGTTAACAATCCCACAAAGCATACATTCAAACAAGAGGCATCTAAAGATTAAAAAAATTACCCACTATATTTTTGTATAAAAATAACAACATTTTCTAATGTACACAAAGACAAAAGATAAATATTTGTGATACCTTTGTGACATCTGTTAGTCTTCTACTGGCTCAACAGTCTCTGGAAAGAGCAGTGAAGATGAATAAGCTTAGACTCTGCTGCCTCTTATGTCTGTGGCCAGGATTTGTGAGCCGCTCCTTTAACTGTTGAGATTTCTCGATGATGTAGTAAAGATCTTCTGATGCCCAGCACTTAAGGCTCTCAGAGCACCCACAGAAATCTCTGTCTTAACGTCCTAACTCTACAGAAAATAACTGCTGAGTGAACACTCAATTAAGAGAAATCACTTTCAATGCTTTATGGGAAGAATCCAAGCAGGGTCGCTCCGAGAGAGCACACGGATGGGTCACACCCCACTGCCAACTCTCCCAGGCATGACTGCATCTTCCACCCTCACCAGTACAGGGCAACAGCCAGGAAAAGGTGACCAGTGCCGTACACCCTCAGTCACATGTTCTGTAAATTACGCTAATCTTGTAGACCAGTTTTACAGATTTTCTTCCCTTTTCTAGTATACAGTTAAACTGAAAAAAAAAAAATACTTCAGCAGAACTTTAATGCCATCTGAATAATACTTCACTATACATGTACTCCTTATCAGACCTTATCTTTAAAGTATGTTCCCTGCACGTGAAAAAGACCAACACACAGCACTCCTTGCGCACCAGCTTCTGAACGTTGGCACTACTGGCATCTCTAACAGGTCACTCTTGGTAATAGTCCTGTGCACTGAAGAGCTTTCAGCAACACCTCTGGCTGCTACTACAACCTCCTCGATTCCTGTAACAGCCACAGGCTGTGGTAACCACAATGTGTCCAGAGACTGCCAAATGCCCCCTGGAGGACAAAAAGAGACCTCTCCACTGAGAACTATTGCTCTTAATGTACAAAACCAAGAGGAAAACTGTCAGTCATGCCGATCTGGGTGAAGTCTAGAATACAGACTTTTGTGACCTCCATAAATACTGCTTATGCAAGAACACAATCCTGTTTTAAAGACAAAGCATTTGTCAGGAAGATATGTTTTTTAAACATACTGATACTTCATTGCATTCGATTCTGTCAATGGGCTCCTAAATTACCTTATATCTCTATGATAACCTTTGGAAAACTAACAGGGTAGAAAAATGTATAAGAAAACAGAATCAAAGGGGGGGGTGTAAATCAATAATTATTTTTAAAAGGCTTCTTTTATACTAATGATAAACATTACCTTTAAAAAATTATCTAGTATAACATGTTTCTTTGAAAAATATGGGCCTCTGTAACAAGTCTTTCAGTGTTATATGTAACTGGTAAAATTAACTTTACCAACGTTGGCTAATTATGAAAATGTATGATGAGTTAGGGTATCTGAAGAGAAATGTCGGCACTGCAAGTGGTGGTCCCAAAGTGCTTGCCTTCCATCATCAGTCTGATATTCTCAGCCAAATGAGGCTTTACCATTACCATTAAGAGGGATAAAACTGATATTACATCAACGTCTTGAGTTCCTGTTAAGAGTCCTTCAGAGAGTTGATGCGTGCACAAATCTTCAGGGCTGGGCCCAGCTTGATGTTCATTGCACTCATGAGATGGTCTTCTTTTAGCAAGAGCAGGGCCTGTCCATCAATCTCTTGTGCCCTGAACTCATCTGCAACATCCTGGCAGCCTGGAATTCCAGGAGAAGAAGGTTAGAGTTACACACAATTAGACGGAGCTCCTAACAGTGACAATTGTTCTGTCCCTGGGTCTGAGAGTATGCAACAGAAGCTAATAAACCATTGTCTTGGTAAGCCTGGGCTTCATCCTTGAAGAAATCAAAACCAAGGAAAGTTTACTTGGAAATCTTGCTTTTAAAAACAGTGCAGAAAATAATAACAATAGGTAAGAGCAATCAGTCAATATATTGCATTTCCCATGCAAAAATGACTTCATTCTGAGGCTTTACACCTCATGGGCTCATCTTCCCAAAACATAACTTCACATATAGGCAGAGAGGAATAAAATGTTATGCCATAAATAATAATCTGGAAATATTTTCTCAAGTGTCAGATTAAACTTCCATGACCACCCAAACCTTCTTTGAGTTCACATAACTCCAAGTGTGTCTAAAATATTTATATTGCTCCCTCAGAAGAGAACAAACCCCCCAGTATTACATATTACAGGACTGCTGACACACACCATACTGTTCAACTCGTAATGTCAACTTCAAAGCTTAACATCACTCAACTCATTTCTACTCATTTTTCTGTTAGCCTGTAGGCTGGTCTTGAACTTACCTTGTTTTCCTACATACATGCATGGATTACAGGAAAGTGCCTTAGCCCCCATCTGTTTTTTAGAACCCAGATCCCTGAGAATGGCAGACGAGTGATCTACCTCTGAACACGTCACTACACCCCTTAGCACGCTTCACCTTAACTTTTTGGTAAAAATAAAATAAAACAATGCAAAGCAAGCTGTCTCTGAAATCATGAGATCTTACTTGGCAGTCTTTTACCAAGCAAGCAGTGCAAAAGCCTCAACCTGAAGTAGGCTCTTACTATCTAAACCCCACTATCCTATGGCCTACCAAAATACCCAATCATTCCTATCATAGGAAAGAGACCTCTAAGCTCAGTAATGAACTAAAAAGCCCAAAGAGAAGAGAATGCAAAAACATGAAAGCTTCCTTACAAACAGTGAAAGTATAAAGTTAGCTTAAGAACAAGACCTAACAGCTGTACGGCCTTTTTGTATTCAAATCAGTATTCCAAGGGGGAATCATGGAAACAGATGATTAGAAAATAAAATGATTAATTTGCACCTTGGAATATAACACTTTGCTAGGATGATTCTCCTTTCCATTGTGAATGTCGTCATTGAGCTTATAAGATGACAAGGTCTACCCACAGACCCAGGAGCACCCCCAAAGCACTACAGTGCAGCAGACATTTAAGTAAGGATGGATGAAGAAATGACAGACTGGAAAAACGTCACCCACTGTGGAGAGCTGTCTGTTGAGTAACCTGCTTTCACGCATGTGTTCACGTGGCCATCATTTTCCTCAGTGTCCCTACTGGCTGTTATTTCTTCCTTTACTGCATCTTATAGAGCAGCCAGCTTTTCATTTCTCTATTTTGGTAATTTCTCAGACTTTCAAAAATTTATATTTCAAAGTCCTGTATATGATTTGTATGGTTTTGCCCAAGTACCACACATATAGATGAAACGGGATTACTCACCATAGAAAAGCCCCTTTTTCTTTTCCCAGAGGTAGCTCTCAACAAAACTGACTAATCTTGCATCTAGTTGTGACTTCATCCTTCTTTTATGGAAGAACTTAGGTTCTTCTCTCCAGTCTTATTTATAAGAACCAGGGAAGGAAAGAGAGAGAGAGGATAGGCTTACTTAGATTCAGAAATGAGGAGTAAAAGAGAGGGGACCACAAAAGCTGCACTGGGAAGAGAAATAAAAAACTCCTGAGAGGAAGTACTCAGCATGCTCTTCTTCCTCTTGACTGGGGTTCCTTTACAGATGTCAGTTTGTAGGTAGACAGTAAAGGCGCTAGCAAAATAATTTTAAAGTGTATTGGGAAACAGCATGATTAAATAATATGTGTTATCATTTTTAGATCCCAATTTTCTCAAGCCAACCACAAAAAGTATCATTAGCACAGAAATGAAAAAAATATAAAGTGACTTATAAAAAGGAGACAAGCACACATCTAGAAACTCACTGAGGAAAAACAAGATGGTTTTTTAAGTATTCAAGATACTCAGAGTAAAAGTTCTGTGAGAGCCCAACACCCTGAGGCCAAGCACTGAGTACATTACACACAAAGGAGGCCGCCAGGCAGCCTCGTGACCGAGTAAACAGCTCTAGGTAACACAATGGCCCTGCTCGTGTCCCACCTGAATTTTCCAGTGTCCACAATCAATTCTCCCACTTTGAAATCTAAATCAAAACATTCTATGCACAAACTGACCTCACTAAAGTTGCAGGAAAGACACCAAGTGCCACTCAATACTGCTGTATAAACATGTCCCCAAAGACATATACAGAAAGAGTTATACTTTAAAAAAAAATTCCTACTTTACATTCCTACAGAGAAATCCAATCTATGGATTCACAGATCAGCATAGAACAGTCTTTCCAAAAGGGCAGTTCACTAAAGGACAGTACAGAAGATAGCCTGCAACTGGTTAACCAGAAGGGCTCTGTGCCCACAAGTTCATGCTACTTCTCACCCTAACAGCTCTGAGCCTGAATCTCCCACCTGGGTGCTTTAACATAGACCCACTGAGTACTTAATAACATGATAACACAAAAATAACAGAAACCCAGGAGTAAAAGTACAGGGGCCCTGACTACAAGGAAGCTCATCCTATCTGGAAAGAAAATGTAAGACATCACAAAATGTATACGCTTGTTCCCACTATGAGAAAAGCTTGTAAAAATACTCAGGAAAAAGAAACAGCCTGAAGGAGCTCAGAAAGATATTTATAAATGCCAGAGAGGCAGAAAGAAAGCGAAACACATTTTCCTAGTGTAAGATTTACCCTAAGCTACTCTAGGATAAACTTTTGGAAAGGCAGTAACTGACTGCACAAATAGCATTATTTGGTTGGTTAAAGCAATTCATAAATACTCCCATTTCATCAGCAAGGAAGGGAGGGAGGGAGGATGGCCTAAATAGAACCAATCAACGCTGTCTCTTCTTAATGATATGTAATGATCTTAAATGCAGATGAACTCAGTAAACAAGAAGGTCTAGCCGGGTGGTGGTGGGGCACGCCTTTCATCCCAGCACTCGGGAGGCAGAGACAGACAGATGGATCTCTGAGAGTTCGAGGCCAGCTTGGCCTACAGAGAGAGTTCTAGGACAGCCAGGGCTACACAGTGAAACCCTGTCTCAAAAACCCAAAAGAGGGGGAGGGGAAGCTGAAGCTAGTGGGTAAGTATGAGAGAGCAGGCAGACATAAGAAGGTTACCCTCAGCATTAGAATGGATGTCACGTTTTTACAAAGAAATCAAGTTTGTCCTACTCTACAGTGTTAATTAGCTTTCAAAAATATATGCACAAAAAATATGGTCTTTCTTGTTTCAGTTTCTAAAAGAATCGGCTGAGGAAGTGAAGAGGAAAATGATTAGAAAATAGACAAGCAGAAGGGGAGAAGTGTCTTCACTCTCCTGCCCTAGAGATCAGGACAGACAAGAGAGCATCTTACTATTCACCGACTGGGCACCAGAGCAATGGCAGAACTAGTCAGTCCGTTTTTCACTCGTTTGGGGGCATGAAGGAGTGCACAGTCATTCTGAAGACAGGTACGAGAGAGCAGGTCACATTTCAATAGCAAACGCACACACAGTTTCTCTAACCTTGAATGCCAAAGCTGTGGATGGACGTAACGTCACTTTCTTGTGAAGGCACAAGGAAAGCATCCAGGCTAAGGGAGTCACATACCAGGCAAAGAATGGATGAAGGCCCAGACATCATCGACTGTCCATATAGAGGGCTCTGTCTGTGAAACTGGAAGCAAGTCACTGTTCTCAGGCATTTTCCTCATCCTCACATCACGCAGCTCGCGTTCTCTTTCCCGCTCACTCTGCCTGCGCAGACGAGTTGTCATGGCAGAAGGCACAGAATCCTCATGAGAAGCCAAGTCTTCTTCTGCAGATGGATAAGTAATTGGAAGCTGGAAAATGCAGTAAAGTAAAATACAGCATTGCACTTCCCTTGCATTTCTGAAAAGGACATTGTACATTGAAGCAAGCTTTCTACAGACCTGCCTAAGGATATGTTCTCTTGCTGTTCCTTCAGGGCCACTTGGACGACGGCCCCGATGCCCAAGACTTTGATTATCAGGCTTACGATTCCAACGACTAAGTGCAAATTTTTTAGAACAGCTAACATTGTACCTAAGAAATTCAAGAAAGAAAAATCAAGCAAAATATGGGACAACCAATTTAGAATCTAACTGTAATTTTAAAGTACAATTGTGACATAGTAAGTACTAGACAATTATTAAGGACTATAATATCTCACAAAGTACAGTTATCTTATTGAATGGATTTATTTAACCTACAGGTCAAAAATGGCCTCTGTGAATATTATAAAATATCTCTCAACATAATACTGGACACCTATAACAAGGTAATGGTATTTTCTCCTGATTATAGAAGAATAATGAAAAACCTGCAAAATGCAGAAGATAACTTGCAACATAGCAAGAAAATTCATGGTTCCAGAAGAGAAACTTTGTAATAAATATTTCTGAAGTTTATTTAAACTATTTAACAAGTAATATATTTGGGGTTTTGCTTTGTCTTTTGCTTTTAATGTATATGCAGGTACTGGAGTACATATGTGTACAGACATATCTACACATGTGGACACTAGGGTTTGGTTCTCAGCACACAATGAAAGCCCACAACTGCCTGAACCCCCAAGTCTAGGGGCGTCAATGCCCTCTTCTGGCTTCTCTATCAGGCACACACAAAGTGCACATATATTTTTAGAGGCAAAACACACACATATTAATTTTGTTACTGATAACTATTCTAGAATAATATATGTAATTTTGTTTACCTATGTTTTATGAAAATATCAGAGATGGAAGTAAGGAAAACTCTGAAAAATAATAGACTATTTGTTCTCTAAAGATGCAAATGTCCCTGAGAGCCACTGAAATAACTGAAGAAGTCCTGCTGTGTTCCTATGGGTTTATCTGTGGGCTCAGCAAAGTGACGTTCTGATATAACTAACATATCAGGTGACAAAACTTACTACTGAAGAAAGGAGAGAACTAGTCTTGTGCCTGGCAATTAGTCCTTATATATTTAGCTCTCCAAGAATTACAGCTAAGCACTTCCCTGACCTGACTCTTCCCCTCTTCCTTGCTCTGTCAGCCAGGCTTCACTGCGCTAGGATCCCTGACCGAAAGAGGTTCATCTGAAGTAGTCCCTGTCTGGGAAAGGGAGTGGCAGACAGTGTTAAGTATCCTGGTATACTTCTAAACATCCAAGAGGTTCAGAATACCCTGAAAGACAGACCATTTCACAATTTGTAAGTGGTTTTGACCAGCATTAGAAATTTGCTGTTCTTTCATGTGTTTCATGCAAAGTGAAATTCAAGTTAGAGCATAAATCCTACATAATCTTATAGACCTACTACTAATCATGAATAAACATTTGAGTAATGAACTGAAGCAATGAGTCCACTTTTGATAGAAATTTACTTTTATTATTCTCACTAAACGTAGTTCTGTGACAAGTATACAAAATGGTATGGTCAAACAAGAAAATCACTGGCTTCTTAAGAGAATATAAATTTCAACATAATTAACCTAAGCATACCCCCCAGGTCTTCCGAAAGAGCATCTGGTATTTGTAGCTGCTAAGCCATCTCTCCAGGCCCCGTATTAATCTTTATAGACTAGTTAGTGTTCTATCTGGTATGGTGGTACATTGCTATGACCTGTATTAATCTTTACAGACCAGGGTTCTATCTGGGATGGTGGTACATGGCTATGATCCCAGCACTTGGGAAGCAGAAACAGGAGGGCCATAGAACATTGGAGACCAGCCTGGTCTATACAGTCAATTCAGGTCAGCCAGGGCTATAATACAAGATCCTACATAAAAAATTAATTTCAAAATTAATTAGTAATTAATTAGTTATGATTTTTAAAACATAAAAATTAATATTCTATCATATTACATATGCTATAGGAGAGATTCTCCAAAGCATATCCTTGTACCAGATGACTGATGCTTCATGAGTATTCACTATGAAACTGCATTATTAGTACCTAAAATTTACTTAGTAAATTCTAGTAACGAGACACAGAGTAAGTGGCTGCTGACCTAACCTTCACTGCTGTTACCATAGCTAATTCCTACCAAAGCTCATCTATAACCATGTCTTGACGTTTTTGCAAAAGTTACTGGTTCTCATAAACAAATTCAAGAACACCAACATACCTTTTGGCACATGACATAGTACAGAATCGTTTTGACCGTAAAAATTCATTAGGATATCCCATTTTTCCACAGAATTCACACTTAAGCAATTCACTATCCATTTCTTCTAATGTCTCTAAAAAGAGAAGGGAAAAGCCAAAAATCTGAGTGGTCAAAATTTCTTTCAGCCTCTAATTTTAGTTACACAACATTGTCAGATCAAGATTTCTTCACCTTCTTTGGATCCAGAGCTACTCTGGCTGGGCTCCTACTAATTCCTTGTTTCTACATAAGAATGATGTTTTTTTCTATACAATAAATTCATCTATACAAATAAGCATAGGCTAGTTTTGCTAAGAATCCAGCATGTCTAGAATGTAAAACAGCAATGTATGTTACAAACACTGAGAAATGAAATGAGTGCCGTGTACTCATGGTCCACTAGACAGAAACAATTTCAAAAGGCAGAATGTGACATATGAATTTGGTGCCCTATGCTATGAAGATTTACAGCAGAGAAACCCTTTAAATTCCTATGGAGAGGAGACTGGCTTCAAAATGGAGACACTTCTGTATGTTTGATTTTAGTAAGACATATAAAATATTATGTGCAGTGTATGACTAATTTTATAAAGATATATTGTCAATTTATAAAACAGTTCCTTTTAGTAGTAAATAAAATTAATTTGGCTTTTAAAATCTCAAACAGTGTCATAATGTCCAACTACTGGTGCATTTTCTAGGGTGCTCCCTGCTAAGTAAGAATGCTAGTCCTAACCCCAACCCCAACCTAAAACCCTCTCCTTCACTATTACCTCTTCCTTCAGGCACCTAAAATAAACAGCTCAATCTTCATGACCTTCCCCAAAGAGCTGAAGTAACTATTACATGGATGTCTGCTCCACTTCACAGTTTCCACGTAAGGACTAAGAGTACTGGGGCTGAGAGATGGCTTCTCTTCCAAAGATCCTGAGTTGAATTCCCAGCACCCACATAGTGGCTCACACTCATCTCTAAGGGATCTGATGCCCTCTTCTGGTGTGCATGAAGACAGAGCACTCACACATAAAAGTGGGAATACGTTTCATATTGTGATACTAATATGGGATCTTGAGGTGCACAAGAAAGGGGAAAGGTTAAAGTTTAAAAGTGTTTGCATTAACTGTACTGATTTTTTTGTCAACCAGAAGGAACTCAAATGAGGAATCACCTCCAGCAGTTGGCCTATGGGCATGTCTTTGGAGTTTTTTTTTTTTTTTTTAAATAAAAGATTGAGGTGGGCCAACAGTGGGCAGTGCCACTCCTGGGTTTTGTACAAATCAGCAAGCTGAGCAAGTCAGTAAGCAGTGTTCCTTCATGGTTTCTGATTCAGCTCTGCCTAGGCTTCCTTTGATAATGGGCTGAAATAACCCTTCCCCTGCCAAGCTGGCTTTGGCCAAGGTTATCACAGTAGCAGAGAAGCAAATGGTATATACCATGAATTTAATAGTTTGCTTATCTTAAAAATGGGTGGTTTTTAAACTGAAATTATACACACACACAAAAAAAACACAGCCACAAAGTAAATGAACACACCATTTTACTCTAAATTTTATTGCATGAATACTGGTTTATACAATAAAAATGCCGAAATTATAAAATAGCCTTGGAAAATTAAAACTATGAAAGACTTAAAATGTTAGCTTGTAGAAAAAGACAAGATCTCCTGAATAAATTGGGAGCTTGGGGACCTTGGGAGAGTGTTGAAGGGAAGGGGAGAGGCAGGGAGGAGAGCAGAGAAAAATAGAGCTCAATAAAAATCAATAAAAAAAATGTTAGCTTGTTTGTTTTGGTTTGGTTTTTCAAGACAGGGGGGTTTCTTTGGTAGCCCTGGCTGTCTTAGAACTAGATCTGTAGACCAGGCTGGACTGGAACTCACGGAGATCTGCCTTCCTCTGCCTCCCGAGTGCCGGGACTAAAGGAATGCACCACCACCACCCGGCACTGTGCAATAGTTCTCTACTCTGAAATATATTAGCCATCTTTAGATTTTCTTCTCCTTCTGTAGCATCTTGTCCTGTCTCCCTTTAGTCCTTCCCTTCCTCTCCCCACTTAGACTGCAGGTGTCAGTCATATGCCAGACCTCTAATACATCCAACAGATGACCAGCACAATGCTAAACCCTTTTCAGTTTATTACAACTGCCACAAAAAACTTGAATAAACCCCCCAAGTCCTAGGTCTTCATCCATAAAATCCCCTCAAGCCCGAGGTCTTCACCAAGGGTCCTTCTGTTATTTACAGCGTGGTGAATTTCGATGTGCTCCTACAGTTCCTTAGTGTCCACATCCTCTGTACATCTGTTCACATCCTGACCAGAACTGTTTTTCCTGCCTGTTATCTTAGATCTAGGCTTGCTCCTTGTCTCGTTTAACACAAAACAGAGATCAAACTCATAAGAAATTCACCAAGCTGAAAATAACTTCAGCTAGTTCTGTCTTCTTGTTATCTAAATCTAACATTTGTTGCTCTGGAATGGAGATTCCCTAATCTCCAACAAAACAAACAGTTCCTTATGGGAAAGAGGGTATGCTTTCATGTCTTTCCGTACATACCTTTCAAATGCCGGCACACTAGCAATGCTATATGTTGCCCATTATATTTTATAAACTACAAATATCATGAAACATGTTCTAAAACTTCCCAGAAGTCCATGCTCCTTCTGTCTATTCAGCAGGGTTGACATGACAAACACATTTTAGCCCAGAACTTTCATTTATATACTTCTTACAGATACAAGCAAAAGAAGAAAAAAGAAAACCTAAACATACATCTTCACTACTTTTCATCTAAAATATGAAATGTCCTCACATATAATCAACTAATTAAAAACATGTATTTGAGAATTAAAATAAATAAAATTAAATTCTAATAATGAACGTCACCATGGTGACCTTGTTTGGATCCTGATGTTAATCAGATGACTGTGAAAGAACATGCTTCAAATAACTAAGAAAATCTGAATATGGATCAGGTATTACACCAAAGAATTATTAATTTTGTTATTTAATTATGTAAGAAAATATCTGCTTTTAAGAGATACATACTATATCAGTGAAATAAAATGGCTACAACTTTCATAAAGAGGGAGGAAAGGATGGAAGAGAAGTAGGAAAGAAAGGCAGCAAAGGGAAGTTTGGGAGAGAAGCAAACAAAAAGATGCAAGACATGAGACCGTTCATAGCAATGGACATAGGGATAAGGGAAGAGCACACAGCTCTCTCTAACTGAATGCATGTTTAGAGCGCTTCATGGTTAGCAATCTTCTACACAGAAAAAAATCAAACTGAGCTCAAAATAACCAAACATTAGTAAAAGTCAAATGTTATACTATTACAGGCTTGGTGGTTCAAATAAGAAGTAAAAATGTTGACTACTTCACAACAGCTTATAAAACACTACCAACGGCAGGTGCCACCCTCTAAGAATCTGAAGGATGACGGTTTTACTTACCAACATGCCACTTTGGTAAATTTAACATTGTGTAAAAACACCCAATAAGGGGCTGGGGTGATAGCTCAGTAGGTAAGAGCACTGACTGCTCTTCCAGAGGACCCAGGTTCAATTCCCAGCACCCACATGACAGCTCACAACCTTCTGTAACTCCAGTTCCAGGAGATTTGACGCTCTCATATAGACATACATGGAGGCAAAACACCAATACACGTGAAATAAAAATAAAAAAACACAATAAAGTAACATAAACTAAATGAGTATTTGCAAAAGAATAAATTAATTTTAGAGATCCTAAGGATAATTACAAAGACAAAGATGTTAATGAGTTTACCATTATAAGCCCCTGACTAAACACTTCAGACTGAATATCATCAACTGAAGGGCCATGATCAAATAAGAACAATCTCTTATAAAGACTCCTACACAATACAGCTAGATTGTTTTGTTTCATTGGTTATTTCTTTAAGCACACATTCAGAATCCCATTTTTAAAAAAGTACAAGCTTTGCTAACTAAAAATAGGTGACCTAAAAGGCACAGAACATCAGTTTTGTGTTTACCTCAACCATTTTTATCAGTCTGACTTCTAAGGGATATCTGGTATTAGAGTATAGTCAGTTGAAAAGGAGCTGGGACAGTAAGGAGATTAACAGTATTTTTTTTTCTTAGAACAAATGTTATCATCTATTGGCTGAAGAGAACATCCTGAATGTAACTGTAATACTCAGTTTATAACACCCATCACAAGAATAAATCTAAAACCACACACCTAAATGCTCTATATTTTGAAGCAAATTCAGTAAAACACTCATTTGTTACTTGCTTTTTAAAAGCAAGAATTGATTGTTCTGATTCAGAAACTTTTAAAATTGCTTTTCCCTCACTAGAAATCTACTGTACAAATCAGCACCAATATTACTGCTCTCCTAGTTACTGAGTTATCAGAGTGGTTAGCGCACCCATTATTCTGGTTAATAGAGTGTTCACATACTCACTGTATGTAAGCAAAACTAAATTCTTTCCAAGTGAAAACCTATGCAAAATAAAAAGTTTATCCTATTTCAAGCAATAAAAGTCATAGTTAAAGAAAAAGTTTGATGGGAACCACAGACCTTCAGCAATCATGTCTTCCATCTCAGTGTCAGATGAATTATCTGCATGCTTTGTGTTATTCTGTAGTTCTGGCTGAACACACACAGAATTCACCACCTGATTATCCAAAAGAGGCCTCTTTTTCACAGGTTGGTCTATCAGCAAAGATGAGCGACTCACCTTTAAATGGAAAAGAGAATGAAAAGAAATAATCTCTAAAAATTAATCAGAAATAAATGAGTCTAATTTTTAAAATGACCCCTCTGAAAGAATGGTAGTTGTGATATTTACTTACTCAATCATCAAATCCAATAATTAAGGGCAAATCATCAAGTAGAAGGTTCTATACATATGCACTACTGCTAGCCAGCAGAATACATACTGCAGTCATATACAATGCACTGCTGCATTAGGCAAGTAGATTTTTAAAAAAGTCTTAAAATCTAGTGATTCCTTACATTTGTAATATTAAAAACAGGAGTAATCAAATTATCCTGCACAATAGGAAAGCAGTGAAAGGGAGGCAGTTGCTGCTTGGATTGATTTATTTTGCAGTTCTGGGAACTGAATCCAAGGTCTTGCACTAACTATACCCTCATCTGTTTCTTTAGAATGTTTTGTTGTTGCTGTTGTTTATGCGCGTTGATGATTTACCATGGGTGTTGGGTCCCTTGGAACTGAAGTTACAGACAGTTGTAAACTGCCATGTGGGTGCTTGGAATTAAACATGGGTCCTCTGAAACAAAGCAGTCAGGGCTCTTAACCCCTGAGCCATCTCTCTAGCCCCTCTTCAGAATGCTTTGAAGATAGCCTCTCACTATAAAGCTCCTCTTGTCTCAGCCTCTGTCCAGTGCTGGGATTACAGTCCTATGCAATGCCCATGTCCAGCTTCACTTTTCATGGAACTATTCAGTTCAGCAACCATCTCTCTTTCCCAAAACTTGACCACACGAGACTAGCTCTTTCTAATACAAGGCTGTATGCATCTGCAAACATTTTATGATTTGGTGGTGAAGACTGGGGAACAGTCATGGGTGTGGTGTGTTCATACTTGCACAGGGGATGCCTTTTCCCCAGTTCACACTGCCCAGAATGTCTGTGTGTTATTTACTTTGAGAGGGAATCTTGCTCAGACTGGCCTTGAACTTGAACAATAACATCAACAGCCTAAGTAACTGAGGTTACAGACCTGTGCCACCAGACCCAACTTATCATCATTAGCTCACGCATGGGGGGGGAGGATGTACCACAGCACATATGTGGACAGAAGAGAACAAATTTATGGGATTAAGTATGCTCTTTCTACCTCTTTGTGGGTCAGATTGCCAAGTTAGCATGGAAATGGCTTTTACCTGTTGCACTATCTTGCTGGTAGCTTTTAAAAATACAGAAACACCAAACAGACTGGACCAGAAAACAAATTCTCTTTGGCACATAATAATCACTAAATACACAGAAAAGAGAAAGTATTAGAAGCTGCAAAAGAAAAGACCAAGTAACATATAAAGGTAGACCTATCAGAAAAACAGCTGGCTTCTAAATGGACACTCTTAGAGCCAGAAGGGCAAGGACAGATAGATGTTCTACTCACTCTAAGAGACTATGGATGGCCAGCCCAGACTACTATATCAACTAAAACTTTCAATTTCCATAGATGGAAAAAGTAAGACATTCTATGATAAAACCAAATTTAATCCTTATCAAGGAGATACAAATTAGAAAGAAAGAAGTCAAAGTATCTTTATTTTCAGATGATATGATAGCATATATTAAGTGACCCTAAAAATTCCATCAGGGAACTCCCTACAGCTGATAAACACTTTCAGCAAAGTAGTTGGATATAAAATTAACTCATAAAAATCAGTAACCCTCCTAAATAAAACTGACAAATGGACTGAGAAAGAAACCCAGGAAACAACACATTTTACAATAGCCCCAAATAATACAAAGTATTTTGGGGTAACTCTAACCAAGCAAGTAAAAGACTTGTATGATAAAAACTTCAAGTCTTTGAAGAAAAAAATTAAAGAAGATATCAGAAGATGGAAAGATCTCCCATGCTCATTACTACCAAAAATAATCTACAGATTCAATGCAATCCCCATCAAAACTCCAACACAATTCTTCACAGATCTTGAAAAGAAAATTTTCAGCTTCATGGAAACAAAAAAAACAGGATAGGCAAAACAATCTATTATAGAACTTCTGGAGGTCTCATCATCCCTGACCTCAAATTGTACTGTAAACTATATAGGAATGAAAACAGCATGGCATTGGCATAAAAACAGACATGTCTGTCAATGGAATCAAATTGAAGATCCAGAGAATCCACACACCTATAGACATCTTTTTTTTGGGTTTTTTTTGTTTTTTTTTTTTTAAGAAGCCAGAAAAACACACTGGAAAAAAGACAGCATCTTCAACAAATGGTGCTGGTCAAATTGGATGGCTGAATGTAGAAGAATCCAAATAGACGCATACTTATCACCCTGTACAAAACTCAAGTCCTGTCGGAGCCCGTGAGGGTCCAACACAAATTCCCTAACCCGGCTGGAACCAAGTAGTGAGGAATAAAACTGACACTGCTTACACGGTCATCATGGAAAAAGCCAGCTCACCCTTTATTCTCCAAACATCTTATATACCCCCACCAAAAGAGCGGGAACACACAAAGGCTGTTATCTAAGTAACCAGGTGCCTGGGCCCAGGTCACTGTCTGCATCTGGCAGTCAGGTAGGCCCTGAATTAGCATCTCTATAAGACATCCTCCAAATTACAAAAGGAAGGAAGCACCAAACATCTGAACTCCTAAGTCATCAGCTTCAGTCAAATATCTCTTCTCAGGTAATCCACATTTTAACAAAAGGAGCTAGGAGCAGGCATCCTGGCTTTTGTTAAGGGCAGAGACAGCTTGTCTGCAGAGCTACATGATCCGCTCAAACCAGGCTAATGGCTTTTGTGCCATATCAAAATATGGGCCCACAATCCACTCTCTCTTATTAATTTTAATAAACCCTGTGCTTCTGCAACAGGACAGATATGTCACGCCTGACTTGGGCAAAGTCCTCTTCATTTAGCCAAATTTTTTTGACATTGGAACAGGCATCTTTTATGCAAGCCCCTGTCTTAGGCATCTGGGGAGAAGAAGCTTCAAACCCGTCATTGACTGCCAACCTCTGTAAAGAGAAGAGATTAGTGAAGAGAAATATACTTTTCAGGCCCTGTGTATCAGCCATATCTTGTCAGGATGCATCATAATGCTTTATGAATAATTATGCTCCCAAAGACTATATTCTCCTATCTTAAAGGAGAGTAGAATCACCTGAGTTGAAAATGTTTCTTCCACTGGTACAGAACATCATTCAGAGTTTACTTTCTCAGCATATGTATCAACTCTCAAATGGACCAGACTCAACATAAAGCTGCATACACTAAATCTCATAGACAAAGTGGGGAACCGCCTTGAATTCACTGGCACAGGAGACTTTCTGAACAAAACACCATTAGCACAGACACTAAGATCAACAACTAATAAATGGAACCTGGTGAAACTCAGAAGCTTCTGCACAGCAAATAATACCATCAATAGAACAAAGCAGCAGACTATATACAGAATAGGAAAAGATTTTTACCAACTACATATCCAATAGAAGGCTAATATTCAAAATATATAAAGAACTCAAAAAACTAGATATCAAGAAAACAACCCAATTTGAAAATGGGTACAGATCTACAGTGCCTAGCTCAGTCATAATCAGAGAATAAATATAGAAACCCACAGTCAGACAGAGAGGGACCTCAGAATTCTTAGCCCTAAATGGAATGTCTCCATCAAATCCCTCCCTTCACAGTTCAGGGAGCCCTGTGGAAAAGGAAGCAGAAAAAGTGTAAGAGCCAGAGAGGACTGAGGCCACCAAGAAAACAAGCCTTAGAAATCAACATGATTAAGGATCACATAAACTCAGAGACTAAGGCAGCAAACAAGCACCTTCCCAGGTCAGTACCAGGTTCTCTGCATATTATTTTATGGCCTTCAATTTAGTGTTCTTATGGGATTCTTGAGTTTGCAAATGAGTAGGCCTCTGATTCCTGAGCCTTCTCTTGAACTTTTTTCCTTCTGTTCTTTTGTCCTGTCCAACTTTGAAGTAAAAGTTTTGCTTTATTTTATTTATTATCCCTTAGAAGCCTGTTTCTTTTCTAGTGAGAGACAGAAAGGGAGTTGATCCAGATGGGAGAGGAGGTAGGGAGGAACTGGGAGGAGCAGAGGGAGGGGAAACCATAATCAGGATATATTATGTGAGAAAAAGAAATCAAAGAAAATGGGGTACAGATCTTAACAGAATTCTCAAAAGAGGAAATCTAAATGGCTGAGAAGCACTTAAAGAAATGCTCAACATCCTTAGTCATCAGGGAAATGTAAATCAAAACTACTTACAGATTTCATCTTACACCTATCAGAATGGCTAAGATCAATAAAACAAATGACAACTCATGCTGACAAGGATGTGGAGTAAGGTAAGCATTCATTCATTGTACAATCGCTATGGTAATCATGTGGCAACTCCTCAGGAAGATGTGAGCTGCTTTACTCATGATCCAGCTACACCACTCTTGAGCATATAGCCAAAGGATGCTCCATCCTACCACAGAGACACTTGCTCAACCATGGCCACTGCTACCTTATTCATAATAGTCAGGAACTGAAAACAACCTAGATGTCCCTCAAAAGATGAATGTATAAATAAAATGTACATTTATTTACACAATAGTATATCACTTAGCCGTTTTTAAAAAAAAGACATCATGTAAACAAATGGAACTGGAAAAATATTATCCTGAGTGAGGTAACCCTGACCCAGAAAGACAAATATGGTATGTATTCAATTTTATGTGGGAATTAGCTGTTAAGTCAATGATAAGCAAGCTACAATCCATAGAACCACAGAGGTTAGGTGAGTAAGGGACTGGGGGAGGGGGAATAAGAAATAAAATAAATAGTTATAGATGGATGGAGCAGGAGACTGGAATGGGAAAATCAAGTGGGGAGGTGGAGGGAGAGGGGTACAATGAAGGAAACATGAGGAGAGACCACTAAAATTTGAGGGATAGTGGTGTAGGACATCCTTCTGTTTATGTGTTGCTTTCATAAAGAAACCGCCTTGATAGGGCAGAACTTAGGTGGGGGGGGGTACGGGGGGACAGAACTGAATGCTGGGAGGAAGAAGGGCAAAGTCAGAGAAGCTATGGATCCTCTGCCTCAGACAGACGTCAGTTAGAATCTTACCGGTAAGCCTCAGCCACGTGGTGATACACAGATTAATAAAAAAGAGTTAAATTAAGATGTAAGAATTAGCCAATAACAAACTAGAGCTAATGGGCCAAGCAATGTTTTAATTAATACAATTTCCATGTGGTTAAGCCGGGCGGTGGTGGAGCGCGCCTTTAATCCCAGCACTCGGGAGGCAGAGGCAGGTGGATCTCTGTAAGTTCGAGGCCAGACTGGACTACAAGAGCTAGTTCCAGGACAGGAACCAAAAAGCTACGAAGAAACCCTGTCTCGAAAAATAAAAAATAAACAAAAAAAAATTCCATGTGGTTATTTCGGGTGTAAGCTAGCCAGGCGGCCAGGACAGACAAGTGGCCCTCCTCCTTCTACAGGATAGTATGACTTAATACAGTAGAAGCCTCTTAAAATATAGACATACTTGAAGGTGATCTAAAAGAAATCACCAAATAACAAGTAGACAGAGCCCTAACTTGTCACCAAATGAAGCTTCCAGTGCTTCCAGTACTGGGGTTAGGTTTCATCTACTTGAGTTGTTGGGCAAAGTTGTCCCATGGGAATTCCAAACAACCAGGCTGCTGCCAAGAATATAGGCTGCTCTCTACAAACAGCCAGGCTCCAGTGCTGAACACAATACCTACACAACTCACTGAACATGAAGAAGTTGAACTCATAGAGCTCATTCAGCCCTATGGTCTAGCATTTTTGATACAGGAGAGTGGGTACTCTGCATGATATCAAAGGAGAAACATAAATACCAACCTAGCCACAAACCCTTTGATCTACAATGATATTCTGCCTGCAATATATGCAAGTGCAATAGTGCCATAAATCTTATGGGAGTAACCACTATCTGATTTGACTTAAGGCCCACTCCATGAGATGAACTATACCCAACTGCTTGGGTTACCAAGAACCAGAGACTAGAAAGCCCAGAAAGCTATGGCAAAACCAAAAACTACTGTCCTACTTAAAATAATAATAGCAATAAATAAAAATGACTCCTGATGACATTCTGCAACACTCATAGATCAAGTGCCTTGCTCAGCCACCAATGGAGAAGTTTTCTCCTGCAGCAGATAGGAACAAACACAGGGACCTGCAGTCAGACAATTCGCTGCGAATGAGAGTCCTTGTAACATTCAAACACTAAACAAGGCATCTCCATCAAATCCTCCTCAGGGCTCAGGAAAACCACAGAAGAGGAGACAGAAAGAGTATAAGTTAGAGGGGATGGAGGACAGGACAACAAGAAAGCAAGATCCTCCAAATCAACAGGATCAGTGCCTGTAAAGACTCAGACTGGAGCAGCATGCATGGGGCCTACATGGGTCTGTTCCAAATGGAGTCCTAGAGGTAAGAGGAGAAGTGAACACATGCACTCATCCCTAACTAATAACCACTTGCAAATAAAAGTTTAGTTCTCTCCAAGGGAGTCTCCCTGCAGAAACAAACCACTCGAGAACAGTCTGCATGTAGGCTGCAGGTCAACAGAAAACACGTCTAATAGCATTACTGGAGGTTCCTTGTCTAGGAGTATCATATCAGGGCTTACTTTTTTAATTATCTTATTTTTTATTTTTATTTTATTTATGGATATTTTTTCTGTCTCTTTTTACCCTACAAATCTTTTGCATATATATAAATGGCTCCCAGTTTAGTGTTTTAATGGGATTCTTGAGTGTCCAAACAAGTGGGTCTCTGTGTCAAATGTTTCATGTGTCTTTTCTTGGTCTCTTTTTCTTCTGTTTCTTTTTCTTTTTCCTCTTCTGATGTATCAGTTTTTGTCTTATCTGATCATATTTTATTATTATCCTTTAGAAGCTGTTTTCTAATGAGAAACAGAAAGGGGGTAGATCTATATGGGATGGGAATTCGAAGGGACAGAGAAATAGAGGGAGGGAAAACATAATTAAGATATATTATGTAAAAATAAAAACTACTTGTTTTATTTTGTTTTTTGAGACAGGGTTTCTCTGAGTAGCCCTGGCTGTCCTGAAAGTCACTCTGTAGACCAGTCTGGCCTCAAACTGAGATCTGCCTGCCTCTGCCACCCAAGTGTTGGATTAAAGGCATTCATAACCACCACCTGGCAAAAGCTACTTTCAATAAAAGGGGAAAAAATCTGATTAAGCATGTTTTCAAGTTCTTCCTTCATAATAATAATAATAATAATAATAATAATAATAAATGCAACACACACAAAGATGAACATTTTAAATGCTAGAGATGAAAGTCATAGCCACACACATGCTAAGCAAGACTGTACCAAAGATTTATACCCTAAATTCATACTTTATATATTTTATAGATAAGGATACTAATGTTCAGAGAGTTTAAATTACTTCTTTTTAATTTATTTCTGGTTTTTTGAGACAGGGTTTCTCTGAGTAACAGTCCTAGCTATCCTGGAACTCAGACTGTAGACCAAGCTGACACCAAACTCACAGAGATCTGCCTGCCTCTGCCTCCTGAGTGCTGGGATTAAGCGTAAACCACCACCGCCTGGCTAGATTACTTCTTTACAAATCACTTAAGTCTTGAGCAAGCTAATCACTGTAATTACAGGACAAACAAGCTCCTCAAACACTGAGATACTAACATCAACAACAAATAGTCATTGTGTTCAGCATCGTGAATCCTTATTTTAGAAATATTTTCAGGAAAATTTTAAACCAAGAAAATGTACTGATTCTTTTTAGGCAAACCCTCAGCTAATCTGGAAAGAAGGCTGGTTGTAGAACAGGAGGGAACCATAGCCTACTGGAAATTTCTGTAGGGGCTGGAGAGATGTTCAGCAGTTAAGTACCCTAGTTGCTTTTTCCAAAGGAGCCTGGTTTGATTCCCAGCACCCATATGATGGCTCACAGCCACATGTAATTCCAGTTTCAAGGGTCTTAAACCCTCTTCTGCTTTCTGAGGGCCATAAGCACATACATGGTGCACAGCCACATGCAGACAAAACACCATACCCATAAAATAACTTTTCTAAAAAAAACTATTAAAGTAGAATCAAAATTTTGTAATTTAAACATCTGTACTTATACCAGGCGGTGGTGGCGCACACCTTTAATCCCAGCACTTGGGAAGCAGAGGCAGGCGGATCTCTGTGAGTTTGAGACCAGTCTGGTCTAAAAAAAAAACCATCTGTACTTATTTCAGTAACTTAATATGCCTCAAGCAAAATTTATAGAAGTAATTCTACTAAGCAATGCTTGTAGCAGATGAGGAAACAAACTTTCCATAAAATAATGTTTCAAAATACTACTACTTTTAGGAATTTACGCTACAAAAACTATTTAAAATGTGGATAACTTACATAAAAACGTATAATATCTTTCTCCCCACCCCACGTGAGTGGAGAGTACTGAAAATCTCAACAAGCACCTCAAACATGCTAAAAATGCATCCTATCACTAAGTTGTATCTTAGACTATTTAAACAGTGATAAGATGAAAACAGTGTTTGAGAGGATTTATATGTTATGGTTGTACATAAGGTAGATTATGTAACATTTCAAAATGTGCAAAAATGTTACTATTGATAAATAAAAGCTCATATATGAAGTAAAAAAGGAACTGTATGCATAATAATAATCTTGATTACGTGAATATACATGCACAGTGATATTATTATTTGTTCTAGATAGTTCAAGTTTTAAAGCATGAATTACTTTTATAACATGAAAAAGTTAAGTTGTAATTATCACTACAATGACAATAATAAGTTATAGCTATGGTTAGTAAATGCCAGGTACAGCAAAGAATAATGCTAGCATATTTAATTCTCACACCCAAAGAGCATCTCCATCAGGCAGATAAGCAAAATTAAGATCAGAAATGGTTAATACAAAATGTCTCAGAACCTATATAGGAAAATACATAAAATATTAGAGAGTAAAATTCTTTAAAATACTCAAAAAATCAACCTTTAAAATAAGATTATAAGTATTTTCTTAGAGAACAGCAGCAGACAATTTTTTTTAAGTTGGTGTTATATGGTTAAAAATAACTTCTAAATTCCCTGCCCTGCGGGAAGTCCAAGGTCCTCCCCACTTCTATCCAGGTCTAGGAGGGTGAGCATCCAAACAGGCTAGGCTCCCACAAAGCCTGTTCATGTATTAGGATCGAAACTAGTGCCATTGTCCTTGGCTTCTCATCAGCCTTCATTGTTCACCACAAAAAAATAAATAAATAAACAAAAAATAAAGAAAGAAAAAAAAATAAAAATAAAAAAATAATAATAACTTCTAAAACACAAAAAGCTTTCTACTTACAGGAAATGGCTCCAATCCCTCCTGAATCACAAAACCTTCAATAACATGAGTCAGGATCTGTGGTTTGACAATAGCCTGTGGAGGTTTGTTTTCTACGCTGGGAGCGCTGCTGGCCATAGATGTGCTATTGCCCCTCGTAGCAGCAGCTGGAATTAGGAGTGGTGGTGGAGGAACAGAGCCATGGGCAGGATCTGATGGAGACTTAATCACTGAAGCACTGACTGAGGCCACAGCAGGCAACTCCACTTGCTCTGAAAGAAAAGGGATGGACCTTTAGCCACCTGCCCTGCATAGATGGACGCTCACTCAGACCTGCTGTCTTCCAGGAGCATTATGCTTACTGTATAATCTCATTGCACAATATCCACAGAAGGAAGAAGCTAATATCCCCTTTCTATAGACGTACACTAACATGCTCAAAATTATCATCTAAACCATTTTTATTATCCCCATAAAACATGAAAATGCCCTAAATATCATTTTCAAAGTAATTTCAAAAATGATCAGTTGAATTTGTCTGCTTTTAAGCTATACAGATAATAAATACCTTACATTCCTCTTTATTCCACATGATACCTAGATAATCATTTGAAAATTTAAAAAGGATGGAGAACCCCCCAAGTAAGTAGGAATTCCAGTGATTAGACAGGTTGTAGACTGTAACTGCAAAGCTGGGAGGTCCACCAAATCTTCTCAAATGTGTTTTGCTTTCTAGTGTTGCTGTATGTGCTGATGGGGAAATGTTGGCAGCCCACAGGAAGGGTTAGCTGACAATCTGATGGGTGAAGAGTCATTGCCACCAGTAGCACCAGCCCTTGACTGTCAGTACTACAGTAGAGAGAAGTTTCTATCTAGACATACTAGTGAGAACAAACTTCTGAAGAAAACAGAAAGAAAGCATGTGTGCAAAGACCCTCACTGAGCACTTAGGTGGCTGGTGCCATGTTCAATGCTTTCATGCTGTACCTCAATTCATCTACAAGTAGCCTATGGGTGATCAATGTAATCAGCTCCATCTTACAAATAAGGAAACCAAGACACAGACAGATTAACTTACTTGCCTCAATGGCACACAACAAACAGGCAATGAAACTGGGGCACTGTCCCAACCAAGTGGTGATGGCACACACCTTTGATCCCAGCACTCAGGAGGCAGAGGCAGGCGGATCTCTGTTAGATGGAGGCCAGCCTGGTCTATAGAGTGAGTTCCAGGACAGCCATGGCTACACAGTGAAACCCTGTCTCAAAAAACAAGGACTGATACCACTACCAGTTAATGATGCTAAAAATATAGTTGACTTAGGTAGAAGAGAAAAAAGAATAGGCTCTTTAAAAAACAGAAAACTCAACTGATAAAGCAGGGACTGAGGTTATAGATCAGTGGAAAATGCATAAGTAGGAAGCAAAAGAATAAACTCCCTGTGCCACAAAATACATATTAAAATTCAAAAGAAAGAATGGAAACACAAAGAGCTCACCCTTAATAAGACCAATCTAATTAATATGCTGTAGGTTTAACCAACACTATTACAGCAAGAATAAAGTAATCTATTTTCACAAAGATAAAATATTGAAACTGTTGTTTAATGCCATATAAATGACCAGGCATGGTAGTGCATGCCTTTAATCCCAGCACTTACAAAGCAGACACAGGCAAGATCTCTCTGAGAATTCCAGGCCAGTGAGGGCTACTGAGTGAGACAGTGTATCAAAAACAACCAACCCCCCCTGCACAAAATAAGGAAAAGAGGGAGAGAAAGACAAAGAGGGGGAGGGAGGAGGGATGGAGAGACAAAAGGAAGAAGGAAGGAGCAAGAAAAGCAAAGCACCCATAGATTGGTAACTTGCTAATGTCTGTGAATATATGCACAACTATCCACATGTATTATCAAGCAGAAACACTACAATATCCCTACCCATGTGTTCAATCATCACAAATACTTCTATGGGACAAAAGACCAAAAAAACACTATTAGGTATGGCTGAAAGTTATTTTTCTACAGAAAAAAAAAATCTATGGGGAACTAAAATAAAATTCAAAATAACTAACCGATTTAAAGATACTTTCTTGCTCAATAAATATAAAACTACATGTTATGGTTTTAATGGACATTCCAAAATTCCTGTGTTAGGAACTTAATCCTCGACAGCAGTGTGAAGAAGCAGAACTTTATGGAGTGTGAGCAGGAGCTCATTTCCATCATGAAGGAACTGTCTGGGATGCCCACATTCCCAGTGATGCTGCCACCATGTAAGAGCGCCGCAGGAAGGTCCTTGCCAGGTGCAGCACCTGCATCTTACAGTCCCCACACTTCAGAAACACAAGCCAAGGGTTCCTGTCAGGTAGCCTAGGCTGGTTTCAAACTCCACATCTTCCCTCCTCAGTATCCTAAGTGCTGATGCTATAGGCATTTTCACCATACCCAGATCAAATGCACAAAATGGACGAAGACATTGCATTAAGTAGAGTTTTTTCAGAAAATACTGCTCAATGATAATCTGAATTAATCTTTTTTTGTTGTTGTTTTTTGAGACAGGGTTTCTCTGTGGCTTTG